TTTGATATTTCGAACTAAACTAAACTTGTATTTGAAAAAGCTTGTTTAGATTTCTCTAAAGATAAATAGAAAAGTCGTCTTCATTGTATTTATATTAACGCCAACCACTGAATACTTCCCTCTTGTTTATAAATGTTCAATCTTAAAATAAACAAATATATTATCTCACCTGACAGTTTTATACTTTCTGTATTTAAATATTTGAAGAATAGTTCCCAGTTTAGAAACTGGGTCTTGGCATCCAACCTACGCAATTTCAAACTATTCAAATTTGCGTCATAGTCAAAATTATTCAAAACATTTTAAAGAGTCATAACTCATAGTCAAAATTATTCAAAACATTTTAAAGAGTCATAACTTATAGTCAAAATTATTCAAAACATTTTAAAGAGTCATAACTCATAGTCAAAATTATTTAAAACATTTTAAAGAGCCATAACTCACAGTCAAATTTATTCAAAACATTTTAAAGAATCATAACTCATAGTTAACGCTATTCAAATCATTTGCATTGCGTAATCAGCTCAATCTAAAACAGCTAAACCTTTGCGTTATAGTGTGCGCTATTTTAGTCATTTTTACTAATGTCAATCAATCAACTTCATTTCATTTACGCAACTGCATTGCAAATTGAATAATATTCAAATTTGTGCCATAGTCAAAATTATTCGAAACATTTGAAAGAGTCATAGCTCATAGTCAAATCATTTGCATTGCGTAATCAGCTCAATCTAAAAAACTAAAACTTTGCGTTATAATAAAGGCCATTAAATACTTAAACTTGCCGCCATTTTGATATACGACAGTTAGAAATTATTAAAATTTCACCAAATGTTTGTATTATTCTCCTACTATCTAAATCCAACCAATAAAACTTCTCTTTATAACATATGCCATTAAATACTTAATTTCCGTTATCATGATAATACACGACAATTGAAGATTTTAAAATTTTACCGAAGGTTTTGTTTGGACGTGAAGTGGTCCAATAACGTCCTCGCTGATATTGATTTCCACCGTATTCTCCCCCTTGTTCTCAACCCTAAACTGCTGAACAGAATAGGCTGACCCATCCAGATCTACGCCGACAGAGCTGTGCCTGAACATAAGAACTTTGAGTCACGGGCAGCCGTAGTACATTTGAATTTCCGAGCCGGGTCAACCGTTCCGTTCCCAGTTTGTACTGTACCTAGTCTATGTACAGGACTAGCCGGTGTAAAAAGGTTGACGCGGTCAGACTTTATGCTTTATATAGCTTGAATTTACTTTTAATAAATAGGCAGATTTGAATTTTAAGCAAAACCTCTATTCGCTCTTATAAAGAGATTGGAAATATATTTTGAAAAATAAAAACAATGATAGCTTATTCTTTCTCGATCATACAAATCTTTTTATAGGTACTGTTGATAATCGGACATGCCATTTTGTTTTAACAAAGGGCAATGTGAAATTTCGTCTACAGTCCCTTTAAATCAGTACAAACTTTTTTCAAAAAAAATCTTTTAAAATGTAAATACAAAGTTTCCCTTTTAAATATTCATCTTATAAATAATTAATCTTTATTTTGTAACCTATATCTTTGAAACCTAATCAGTTCAGATCAGAATATGAAAAATCTATGTTTGAAATGAGGAATCAGTTTCTTTATACCTGTACTGGGTGTACCCTCTTTTGTGTACATGTACGGTATGTACAGCAGTATCCCTTGTAGTGCCTGAAACTGCTGTACCATGTACAGATACAGTCCCAATTCTGTGCAATCTAATCTTTACAACAAGCTAAAAAAAAATTTCTATATATATATGTATGAAGTAGTAATCTCTGTTTGTTTGTTTGTTAAAATGTCAAATTTATTGACAAAAAAATCGTAATATACAAACAATGTCGGGTTAACGGCGGGAGTATCTTTGAGTAACATGGGCAGCGCCGGGTTCCCAAGCTAGTAAGTAAATAAAGTTTTTTTCTTATAAGGGCTACCGAATACGGACCCAAATATGTCACATTAATCCCATAAGAAGGTGAAAATTAATTTGGTTTACTGTCCTAATTTTACTGTTTATAGACTGTATGTATTGTATCCTTTACCCAACGTGTTCTATCTGTTGTTGGGTCTGTACTTATATAAAACAATAGTTTTAAAGCCTTGTGTTTTCACCAAGGTTATTTATTAAGGCTAAATACTCTAGATGCGCTCCAATCTTTGGTAAATGTCGTCTTCACAGCAGTGGACATATGACGTAACTTATTATTGGCGGAAGCTGAAGTGACAACGCTGCTGGTGAGGGGGGGGGAGGGATTTTCTCCACTTTTTACAGCTGCCAAGTGAAGAAAATATTCCTTCTCCCCCTCTGGCCAACGACATTGTCACTTTTTCCAGAAAATCTAATCTAAATAAAAAACCTTGGTTTTAACCAAGGTACTAATGCAAGGAAAGTTATTTCAGAAGTGTACGCATCTTTTGTATTGCAGTGTACTGTCTCTGGGCGCTATTGTAAACACAAGACGAGTGTCACAGCCTGACATGGAATCAATTTTCACAAAAATAATCTTTGAAATATTCTGGTCAAAGAAAACTATTATGTGAATTATCAAAATTTAATGCTTTGCTCCTCCTCGGATACTAAGCAAACACTGATGCATCTATTTTTGTTTACAAATTCCACCCAACGAGAACTTGTTTCAATATGTAAGCAGAGTTTAAACAATCACAATTAATTTTCCTTGCTTTAGTACCTTGGTTTTAACTAAACATATTTGATTTCTCTTCTGATATTCCACTGCTCTGCAGATGGATCAAAGTTAGAGAAACATTAAATATTCATTAAAACATTAATTTAATTTCTTCACAACACTTTCAATCTACATAGTTTATACCTTTTAGTTTATATATTTGTATATATTATTATATTAGTTTAATTTCTTCATAACACTTTCAATCTACATAGTTTATACCTTTTAGTTTATATATTTGTATATATTATTATATTAATTTAATTTCTTCATAACACTTTCAATCTACATAGTTTATACCTTTTAGTTTATATATTTGTATACATTATTATATTAATTTAATTTCTTCATAACACTTTCAATCTACATAGTTTATACCTTCTAGTTTATATATTTGTATATATTATTACAAATAGGCTAAATGCTTCTCAAGAAACAAAAATGCATCAAAAACAATTCTACATATTTAAAATTTTGATGAAAGATTAGACAGTATAAGTTACAACGTATATTTTTAGGGAGTGCAATTATATTCAGATTTAAACAGTTTTTTTTAAATTTCAATTCAATTATAATTATCTTGATGAAATCATTGGATCCAATTAAATCAACAATGTGTGAAAGCAAATCTGTAATTAAGTCAAAGTTAAAATGCAAGGAAAGTTATTTTACAGGTGTACGCATCTTTTGTACTGCAGTGTACTGTCTCTGGGCGCTAATGTAAACACAAGAGACGGATGTCACAGCCTGACATGGGATCCATCTTTCACACAAAAAATAAATGAAATATTCTGGTCTTAGGAAACTACTATGTGAATTAGTTATCAAAATTTTCAAACTTCAATGCTTTTATGCTCCTTGGATACTAAACGAACACTGATGCATCTATTCTTGTTTACAAGTTCCGCCCAGAGAGAACTGGTTTCAATATGTACGCAGAGTATACTCGACTGCAATTAACTTTCCTTGCATTATGACCTTGATTTAAGTAATCTACAAAACGTTTCCTCACTGAACGTTTCCTTAATGAACATTTTGTGAGGAAACATTCACTAAGGGAACGTTTGGCAAGGAAACGTTTAGTAAGGAAACGTTTCGTAAGGAAACGTTTTGTGAGGAAACGTTTTGTAAGGAAACGTTTTTAATGAAACTTTTTGTAAGGAAACGTTTTGTCGTATGAAACGTTTTGTGACAGGAAACGTTTTGTGCTGGAAACGTTTTGCGCTGGAAACGTTTTGTGGCAGGAAACGTTTAGTGCTGGAAACGTTTTGTGACAGGAAACGTTTTTTTGCAGGATTCGTTTGTGAGGAAATATTCAGTAAGAAAACGTTTGGTAAGGAAACGTTTTGTAAGGAAACGTTTTGTGGCAGGAAACGTTTTGTGGCAGGAAACATTTGGTCTAGGAAACATTTGTGAGGAAACATTCAGTAATGGAACGTTTTGTAAAGAAACGTTCCGTAAGAAAACGTTCTGTAAGGAAAGATTTTGTAAGGAGACGTTTTGTGGCAGGAAATGTTTCGTGTTGGAAACGTCTTGTGAGGAAACATTTAGTTAGAAGACGTTTTTTAAGGAAACGTTTTGTACGGAAACGTTCTAATCTAAATATTCCAAAATATTTAACAGTCTATAAAAAGAAACCTGTGAAAATGAGTTTCCAGCAGTGGCAAACTGTAATCTCTTTCCTTCCTATCATTACAGATATTAAAATTAGAAATTTTTAAAAAGTTAGATCTCAATAACTCTCTTAAATAAGATTGCATTCGTTCTTGGCAAACAAAGAAAATTTATATTCCATCAAATATTAATATTTATTAAATATTTGAAATTGCTATAATTCCTTGGCAAGGTTTTCGTCCTGAGATAGAACGAATGAGAAGTCCTCCGAGTCCGGAATCAAGATCAGTCCTGTAAGTGTCTCCGGGATACGGTTTATCACTGTGAGAACAATATATACCTCCTCACCCAACCTAGACAGGTTTAGATCGTAAATTTATCAAAAAATAAAAGTATTGATTGGTTGCAATTTTTTTTTTTTTGGTTAATATTGAATCGTACGCTTACGGAACGTTTCCTGAATCTGTTTAGGTGGTAAACCATCAGAAAATGTAGAAATTAAGAATTGAAGTTTAAAAGTTGTGAAAAAGCAGATTATTCGCCCCAAATTACAATGTTCTAATCTCTGTAATATTCAATATATATATATCTTTTACTATTGGATCTATTTGTTTGAATTATCAAAGGTCTACACAACATCGGGGCAAGAAATAGTCAGTTGAACAAAACTCCAAAATCGAAACTCTATCTCGTTAAACACAATTCGCTTCAAGTTCAAATTTCTTATTTTAATCTTTCAATCAACATTTTTGAAAATATTGTTTTATATAAAAACCACTACTTGTCAAATGACAAATAAAAAAAAAGAAAAATATTGAAAAATGTCTTGCCTGGCAGTCTTAGGTCCTGAGACAGTTAAAGAATATTCTTCCTCTACTCCTATACCATACTTTTCAAGTCTACAAATAATAAAACTTTAGAAAAACAAAATAAAAAATGTCTATACATTAAAAATCGCTGAATTAGAAAACAAATATAAAAGTGTCCAAATAAAACATGAAGGTATAAGGTGCTAGTTATAAAAAAAACCTGATCTTTTAATAGCTTAAAACTCGAGTAAAACCTGGTCGTAGTGTCTATTTAAGCCCAAGTAAAGCTCAAGCCAAGAATCGAGTTTAGTCTAGACTTGGGGTCAGAAGAAAAACAATTGACTTGGGTTTTCAACTCTTGAAGGCTCAAGTCTGCGAAGGATGAAGACTATTTAAAAACTATTTATTTTTTACGTTTACATTTTTACAGGGACAGGGACTGTTAACATAATCTTAATCGGCAACATTTCTGAAGAGTAACACATACAATTCACAACGATACCCTTCAAATCAAGAGTTGCGGAGATATCTTTATAATTCTAGCTATACAAATCATGTTATTCTAAGCTGTCAAAAAGAAGGAAAAAAACGTGCATATCTCAGCCGTTTATGAATATGATTAACAAAGTTCTACAGGGTACCTTTGTGAATTGGACATAGAATTCTTAAATTAAAACTGCCCACAGTGGACATCAATATCAATCTATCGTAATTATGACAAAACAAAAGTTTCTAAGTCCGGTGTTAAAGTTTCCAAGTCCGGCGTTAAAGAGTTTCCAAGTCCGGCGTTAAAGTTTCCAAGTCCGGCGTTAAAGTTTCCAAGTCCGGCATTAAAGTTTCCAAGTCCGGCGTTAAAGTTTCCAAGTCCGGCATTAAAGTTTCCAAGTCCGGCGTTAAAGTTTCCGAGTCCGGTGTTAAAGTTTCCAAGTCCGGTGTTAAAGTTTCCAAGTCCGGCGTTAAAGTTTCCAAGTCCGGCGTTAAAGTTTCCAAGTCCGGCGTTAAAGTTTCCAAGTCCGGTGTTAAAGTTTCCAAGTCCGGTGTTAAAGTTTCCAAGTCCGGTGTTAAAGTTTCCAAGTCCGGTGTTAAAGTTTCCAAGTTCGGTGTACAAGTTTCCAAGTCCGGTGTTAAAGTTTCCAAGTCCGGTGTACAAGTTTCCAAGTCCGGTGTTAAAGTTTCCAAGTCCGGAGTTAAAGTTTCCAAGTCCGGTGTTAAAGTTTTTGGAAATCAAGAGTTTTGTCACCTTAAATATTCTCCAGGCTCAACTGTTTGGAGAATATACTCCTCATCTTTCCTACAAAAGTCATTAAGCCAATTTATTATTTATTTGTTTATTTATTTATTTATTTATTTATTTATTTATTTATTTATTTATTTTATCCATTATTTTAAACTTCATTTACTTTAAAATTTATTATTTTCTTATTTTAAAAGATATTATTAAAAACATATTATTAGAAACAACCTTTTTAACATTCCTATGATTAATAATTTAACATTATAACTGTTGATGCTATTAAAAAAGGAATTTTGTACTTTTCTGTATACGAAAAAATTGTTTCTGTGGGCCTTTAAAGTTTTTGTGGGCATATAAGGTTTTTGTGGACAATGGACATATAAAAGGATTTCTTTGATTGTACTTTATATGAATTGGCTAACAGCACAGGGGTTGTAAAATAAATTATTTGTTGAACCAGGGACAGAAAATAATAAATTTGAGCTACGTAGCTGAACTAGCAACTGCTGGTTCAAATTTGAAATTATAATTCAGAGTTATGGTTCAGTTTATTTTGAATCGGTGATTCAAATATGAACCGGTGGTACACAGTTTAGCAACCCCAAAAACTCGTTAAATGGTTTGAGTCTCTGCATGCCACAAATCCTATCATTCCCAACCAATCTCAGAAATCTTAGACATTTCAAAATATGAATTCAGTTAGATCAATTAATCTATATTTGAAATATCCATGGTTTACACCACTAGGTTCCAAAGATATATGAATTTAAATCAGCTGTTACCTGAGAGTAAAATTTTCCATTTTTACTCCGTCCCTATTTGTTGTAAGATCCAACCAATCAGAGCCGGAGACAAAACTTGGAATAATGTTAAACCCAGGCTCACTTTCACCATTCTCACAGGATCTAGAAAATAATAAATATTGAATAAGCTTTCCGTCCATTTTTCAAATATTAATCTATATTTATAAAGTTGTAATTTCTGTTTGTCTAATCATAACTCATGAATCCCTTGACCGATTTGCCTTTTCACTTTTATCGGGAAAAATAGGACTCAAAGAAGTTCGTAGTAAGATTTCAATTCTACTGGAGACCACCGGAGGGATTTTATTTTCACTGGAGGGGTTTGAAAAAATGCTTTTTAAAATTTAAAACTTTACATTCCATTGGAGGGATTCAGATATCTTTCCAGGGGGTTTATAATTCCACTGGAGGGATTCAGATATCCTTCCTAGAGGTGTGTAATTCCACTGGAGGGATTCAGATATCTTTCCAGGGGGGTCATAAATCCACTGGAAATATTTCTGAATCCCACCAGTAAATTCATAAACACTCTGGAAAGAAATCAGAATCCCTCCAGGGGAATTATAAACCCCCAGATAGATATCTGAATGCCTCCAGTGGAATTATAAACCCCTGGGAAGGATTTCTGAATCCCACCAGTGGAATTAAAAAAAACCATGGAAAGATATCTGAATCCCTCCAGTGGAATGATAAACTACTAGAAAGGATATCTGATTCCTTCCAGTGGACTTATAAACTCCTAGGAAGGATATCTGAATCCCTCCAGTGAAATTATAAACCCCTAGGAAGGATATCTGAATCCCTCCAGTGGAATTATAACCCCCTGGAAGTATATCTAAATCCCTCCAGTGGAATTATAACCCCCTGGAAGTATATCTAAATCCCTCCAGTGGAATTATAAACCCCTAGGAAGGATATCTGAATCCCTCCAGTGGAATTATAACCCCCTGGAAGTATATCTAAATCCCTCCAGTGGAATTATAACCCCCTGGAAGTATATCTAAATCCCTCCAGTGGAATTATAACCCCCTGGAAAGATATCTGAATCCCTCCAGTGGAATGTAAATCACCCTGCGTAAAGTCTTAAATTGTAAAAAGTATTTTTTCAAACGCCGCAAGTGAAAATGAATTCCCTACGGTGGTCTCCAAACTCCAATGCAGTCAAAATCTCACTACGAACTTCCGTGATTCGAAAAATGGCCATTGAAAAGGAAAAATCGTTTTTTACGAGACCATTTCGCTTCATTTTCGCATTTCGTTCGCTCACGAAAGATACGAACATTTTTGCTTTTTTAAAAAACGCTTTTTTACAAAAAGCTCTATAAAAATGGACTTTATTGGGTAAAAATTAATTTTTAAACTGAGTTTTTTCTTAATAACGGTTTTTAGGTATGTGAACAACGTCCGCCAAGGGGGGTAAACTAAAAAAAAAATCACCAAAAGTTCATCACCCTAGGCTAAAACAACAGTAAGCCCTGATATTTTCCGTTTTTTAAGGTTTTAAGAACCTCTGATTTGCATAAGTATTTCAATTCTAAAACTACCCCTGGCAGTTCTTAGACACTGTAAATTCCAAGAAACGAAATTTGTAATGTTATTAAACATATTCGAATATATTAAATATTAATGTTATTAAACATATTCGAATATAATAAATATTAATGTTATTAAAAATATTGGAATATATTAAATATTAATGTTATTAAACATATTCGAATATATTAAATATTAATGTTATTAAACATATTCGAATAGATTAAATATTAATGTTATTAAACATAAATATATTAAATATTAATGTTATTAAACACATTCAAATATATTATATATTAATGTTATTAAACATATTCAAATATATTAAATATTAATGTTATTAAACATATTCGAATAGATTAAATATTAATGTTATTAAACATATTCAAATAGATTAAATATTAAGGTTATTAAACATATTCAAATAGATTAAATATTAATGTTCTTAAACATATTCGAATAGATTAAATATTAATGTTATTAAACATATTCGAATAGATTAAATATTAAGGTTATTAAACAAATTCAAATAGATTAAATATTAATGTTCTTAAACATATTCGAATATATTAAATATTAATGTTATTAAACATATTCGAATATATTAAATATTAATGTTATTAAACATATTCAAATAGATTAAATATTAAGGTTCTTAAACACATTCAAATTGATTAAATATTAAGGTTATTAAAAACATTCAAATAGATTAAATATTAATGTTATTAAACATATTCGAATATATTAAATATTAANAATATCAATGTAATTAAACCTATTCAAATAGATTTAATATCAATGTTATTAAACATATTCAAATAGATTTAATATCAATGTTATTAAACCTATAGTCCCTTTAACACACAAAAATAATGTCAATGCCTCTCTCGTCTCCTATCTGTGTTATCTTTTGCATAAAGTATTTGTTAGTATTTGGCACAGGACACCGTTCCTATTTGCCAAGTTAACTGCCTTCAGACTAATTATCTGATTCTATACACCAAACTTAGTTAATACAAAAATTTAAACAACACTTTTAGAGGCCCCATGTCAAACTAAGGTGAATTTTACTGAAGATGGAATTCTTACATGTTAACAACTATATGAGATATTCAAAAGAATAAAAGAGCTTGTAATTTATAATCTTTAACCAGGTAAATTTAAAATCAAAACGAGGAGCTACAAGGTCACAAGGCCGCATCAGTAATATCGCATACTCCTTCTGTGACTGTTCATTGTGAATTATCTGCGCTTACAAAAAAATCCAATAATGATTTTGAGGGAATTTTTTACGTGGTTCTTAAAAAGTTTGTCTAACCTGTGAAAACATGAAGAACATGATGCGTGACAAAATCCATCAGGACAGGATGTTAGACCAGGAGGACAATCTTGTGTTTGTCCTCCTTGTCCTAGAGCAGTATCTTGTCCTTGCGAAGCCTCGTGTCCAATTTTTTCCTCTTGTCCGGTAGCTCGCTATACGTGCCAACAATTTTTATCTCAGTTTTGATGTCGCGGATATTTTTGGTTTTTTATTGATGATATTAAAAAAATTTATATATGAATATTTTTCAATCTAAACTATTCTTCTGAATTTTTGTTTACTTTATCACAAAAATTAGGGGTCCGATCGGTTCAGCCGTTTTAACGTTTGTTGGATAGAAGCGAAACAAGAAACAAACAAGCCAAAGGAATTGAGTTTTTGCCACAAACTCAAATCTTCTGATCCCAATATCTTTGCAACCTAATGGTGCAAACCTTTGATATTTCGAACTAAGATTATTTTATCTATAAGTATTATTAGTTTGAAATATCTAAGGATTACAACATTGGGTTACAAAGATATAGAGATTAGAAAATCTTGGCAAAACTCAATTCCTTTATAGATAAATAAACAATCTTTAAAACAATTTTTGAAAAAACTTCATATGTAGCTTTATGAATGAAAAATTAAAATTAGGGATTGGGGATTCTTTTATAAAAGTTTCTTTTTAACCACATAACTTATACATAGTATGCACACAACTTATTTTAATTAATGAAATGTTTCTGTATCTTTATTTATTATGTTTGTTTTGATTTGTTTTGATTTGTTTATAAAGTTTAGACATTTATTTAAAGTAATGTAGAGATATATATCTAATATATATATTACATACAAAATGTAATACATTAAAAGTAGTTTTCCTCCCAAGAAATTTGATAACCAATTCCCATATTAATGTATAAAAAAAGTGTACGGTAAAACTTAAATCTGAAGTTTGTATTTTCTCCCAGAAGCTGTATTACAAAGCTAATTTTGGGAAAATTCGAAATTCCTAACATTTGATTCGAAATTCCTAACAATTTGTTCAAAATTCCTATCATTTTGTTCAAAATTCCTAACCTTCGGTTCAAAATTCCTGACATTTGATTCGAAATTACTAACACTTTGCTCAAAATTCCTATAATTTTATTCGAAATTCCTTACCTCTGGTTCAAAATTCCTAACATTTGGTTCGAAATTCCCAACACATTGTTCGAATTACCTGACATTTGCTTCGAAATTCCTAACATTTCTTTCAAAATTCCTAACATTTGGTTCAAAACTCTTAAAAAAATGTTTGGTATTTTAAAATGTTCGAGAGATTTTCCTAACGTTCTCACAATATCTTTCACAAGATGAAGATTATTTAATTGTTGTACTGTAACGTCTTATAATTAATCGTCTAAAGTTTGTATGTCAGGGTGTATGTACGCTGTACAGTGTACAGTTGGCTGCTTCGAACGTGGGGTTTAAGTTCAAAATGTTTGTGAGAAAAAAGTGTTGCCTTAGAATTTCCATCTGTAAACAGAAACAAGTCTGACTCGCTAAATCTTGAATCTAAATAAATGAAAAAAAAACTTTTATTTAAAGTTAAGAAAAAAGAATATGATTTATCCCTTTATCTTTGCAACCTGACGGCTTGCATTTCAAACATTGATTGTTTAATTGATCTAACAAAATTCAAAGTTTGAAATATCAGGACACCAACATCAGGTTGCAAAGAGTTGAGTATTAGAACATTAGGGTTAACAAAAAACAGTGAATTGAGTTCATACTTCCATGTGGACTTTTTTTTCAAATAAAATAGTTCTGATAACAAATTTAATTGTATTTTAATATTTGTGAAAATATAAATATTTATTAAATACCTGAGCTTATATTATCCGGTGTCCGGGTTCTAAGTTCTTTTGTAGTTGGAGTCGGTTCAACCAATTCCCACAGTGGCTTAGAGATTAAAGATCCTAAATTTAATAGATTAAAGATCCTGAATTTAATAGATTAAAGATCCTAAAGTTTTATAGATTAAAGATCCTAAATTTAATAGATTAAAGATCCTAAAGTTTTATAGATTAAAGATCCTAAATTTAAAGATAAAAGATCCTAAATTTAATAGATAAAAGATCCTAAATTTAATAGATTGAAAATCCTAAAGTTTTATAGATTAGAGATCCTTAATTTAATAGATTAAAGATCCTACATTTAAAAGATTAAAGATCCTAAAGATTTATAGATAAAAGATCCTAAAGTGTAAGAGATTAAAGAACCTAAATTTAATAGCTTAAAGATCCTAAAGATTTATAGATAAAAGATCCTAAAGTTTTAGAGATTAAAGATCCTAAATTTAAAAGATAAAAGATCCTAAAGATTTATAGATAAAAGATCCTGAAGTTTTAGAGATTAAAGATCCTAAAGTTTTATTGATTAGCGATCCTAAAGTTTTATAGATTGAAGATCCTAAAGTTTTAGAGATTAAAGATCCAAAATTTAATAGATTAAAAATCCTAAGTTTTATAGATTAAAGATCCTGAATTGTATAGATTAAAGATCCTAAAGTTTTATAGATTAAAGATCCTAAAGTTTTAGAGATTAAAGATTCTAAAGTTAAAGAGATTAAAAATTCTGAAGTTTTAGAGATTAAAGATCCACATAAAGATCCTAAAGTTTCCCAGATTAAAGATCCTAAAGTTTCCCAGATTAAAGATCCTAAAGTTTAAGAGAGTAAAGATCCTAAAGCTTTATAGATTAAAGATACTAAAGTTTAAGAGATTAAAGATAAAAGTTTTATATATTAAAGATCCTAAAGTTTAAAAGATTAAAGATTCTAAGGTTTTATAGATTAAAGATCCTAAAGTTTAAGAGATTAAAGATACTAAACCTTTATAGATTAAAGATACTAAAGTTTAAGAGATTAAAGATCCAAAAGTTTTATAGATTAAAGATCCTAAAGTTTAAGAGATTAAAGATCCTAAAACTTTATAGATTAAAAATACTAAAGTTTAAGAGATTAAAGATCCAAAAGTTTTATAGATTAAAGATCCTAAAGTTTAAAAGATTTAAGATTCTAAAGTTATAGAGATTAAAGATTCTAAAGTTTTAGAGACTAAAGATCCTAAAGCTTTAAAGATTAAACATACTAAACAGTTCCTGGTTAGATAAAGTATACCTGAAGCTAGAGTTCCTGGCTAGATAAAGTATACTTAAAGCTAGAGTTCCTGGTTAGATAAAGTATACCTAAATCTAGAGTTCCTGGTTAGATAAAGTATACCTAAAGCTAGAGTTCCTGGTTAGATAAAGTATACCTGAAGCTAGAGTTCCTGGCTAGATAAAATATGCCTGAAGCTAGAGTTTCGTGCTAGATAAAGTATACCTGAAGCTAGAGTTTCTGGCAAGATAAAGTATATCTGAAGCTAGAGTTCCTGGCTAGATAAAGTATACCTGAAGCTAGAGTTTCTGGCAAGATAAAGTATACCTAAAGCTAGAGTTCCTGGCTAGATAAAGTATATACCTGAAGCTAGAGTTCCTGGCAAGATAAAGTATACCTGAAGCTGGAGTTCCTGGCTAGATAAAGTATACCTGAAGCTAGAGTTCCTGGCTAGATAAAGTATATACCTGAAGCTAGAGTTCCTGGCTGCCCTGAAACCAAGAGTTCAAGTTGACCGGCCAGAGTTTGAGTCAGATCAACGGATACCTAAACCCAAAAATTACAGAAAATCGACGAAAAATCTGTTATCATCTTATTTGTTATCATCTTATTTTCTGCTTAGGAATAGGCTGAGAAAATAAAATTAATTCTTATCAAGACAAATAGATAATTCAGTCATTTGGTTCAGAAATCTGTAACTGTTCTTAAACGTTTCCTGTAGATGTCCTTGAATTGCATTACAAAGACGACATTAAAAGAAATTTGAAGAATTGGGCCTTTGCCACAAACTCTGATTTTATAATCCCTTTAAATTCTGTTACATAAAATGATCTAAGTTTGAAATATTAAAGCTTTACTTCATCAAGTAGCAAAGATATAGGGAATGGAAAATTAGGTTTGTGGCAAATACTCCACTCCACTTTTTAAAGTTCCTCGCTGAACAGCAAATAAATGAACATATAAAAATGGGAAATATTCTTTATTTTTGTTTTCAGTACGAGCGGTGGAATAGTACATATACTCTTCTTATTTTTTTTAATTCTTTCCGTAAAAGTTACTTGCGGATTTATACTAGCAGATGAGACAAAGAACAGAAATTGTTATTTTCGACACTTTTCCACTTATTGTTACTCAGATTGATGATTAAGAAAACAAATCAATAATCCGTGATTTGTTTAATTATTGGAAAACGTTTTACAAAATTACTTCTTTCGTTTCCAACAAATATAATATAAAGAAAAATCTTTGAAAATCATGGTATGTATTTGAGTTTATAAATGTAATAAATATAGAAGTAAACCCTATATTTGTAAACCTGAACATACTTGATAACATTATACTCTCACTACGTTCAAAAATTTAACTTTTAACTGCAATTTAATTTAACTATGTTCATCATAAACATGTACTATACAATAACTGATTTAAATATAAGTTAGTTGGAATAAGAATTCTGCTTGATTACGGTATTAGAGTAATATTTCTTGTATAGCAAGCAAGTTGGACTTGAGTTGTATCTCAATTGACTGATAAATACAGAGAGTGTTGTATCTGGATTGATACAGACTAAGAAATTATATTGTGGACCACTGAGCTCTAGAGCAAGTTGTATCTCGAGTGATAGATACTGACGAATATAAAAGCTGTATCTTGATGGATAGATACTGACGAATATAAAGGTTGTATCTTGAGTGATAGATACTGACAAATAAAAAGGTTTTATCTTGAGTGATAGATACTGACTAATATAAAGGTTGTATCTTGAGTGATAGATACTGACTAATATAAAGGTTGTATCTTGAGTGATAGATATTGACGAATTCGGAGGTTGTATCCGCATAGATAATGACTTAAAATAATTTGTTGAAGTAAGGTTTTTGTTACAAAATGATTATAGAAATAAATTGCCACAACAATATTAGGTATTTTTGGGCCATTTTGAAAAATCGTTATACATACACGATTTCACTTTTATCGTGCTATTACTTTAGCAAAGTCAAGTGTACCGAGGACAGTGGTTTGTAAGGCGGGGGGAGGAGGTAAAACGCTTGTTCTAATGGATTTGGCTCCTTGTATACAAAGAGTGAAATTAAAAACATCGAGGTTCATACTATGAGGGGGAGAGGAGAGAGATAAATTCGGGATTTATTCTATATAACTCAAACATAGATGAATTGTTGTTTTATTTTGTGTAATTTTGCTAATTAAATTTATCTATTGAAAGTTGGAACTAGGGTAGGTGTTTATGCCTGCAGTAAACCTAGTCATAAATTAATAAAAAAAAAAACTATGCCGTATCCAGGGCACTTTATCAAGTCATCAGATTCGAAAGTAGAAAAAAAATAATTTTCACTGAAAAAGTGAAGAAAAATTTTTTACTATTATCAAAAATTAATTTTTGCTCGCAATCTCTATGATATCCCTGTAACCTCCCATTCTTCCTGTGTTAACTGTCCCCAACGGAGTTATAAAGCTATAAACCAATAATTTTCCCATCCCTGAAAAGAACTGAGTTCTTACACAAACTCTAATGTTTTAATCTTTGCAACCCAATTAAAACTATAGAATTCAAAATTGAAAGTTAAAATTTTTAGGTTACAAATATGAAGGGTTTAGAAAATTTAAGTTTTCGACAAGAACTCAGTTTCATTATGAATTTTTGAAAATTTGATGACAAATTGTTTTTTGCTATTTGTATGAACTAAAATAACTTTAAAGTTAGATTCAATTATAAATTTTTCTTTTAAATGCAAACTTCAATGTTTCAAATTGGATTTATTGAAAAAGACAAAAAAGAAAAAGATTTAGAGAGAAGTAGACCCTTTCTGTTGAATCAGCAAAATATATTATAATGAGGGATATTTTTGCAGGGATTTATCAAATCTATATTATACAGGGTTACTCACATTGAGACCATTTTTGTTTTATTACAAAGTGTTTCTACTTTCTAGCGGTAATATTTTGAATCTTTCTTTTGGTCCATGAATTTTTAAGACACGATATGAATGGGATTTCCAAAATGACATAAAACACCATTTTAAGTTGAAAACTGAGACTTAAATTTAGAAATGTTAAAAATGAGTTCAAAAATTCAAAATTTCTTTTTTCATTGATAATAATTTCGTAGTTTTCAACAACATTGCCATTTTTTAACGATAGTTCAGCTCATTTGTGAGTTAAGTTTGAGTGTTAAGTTAGTAGTACCGACTAGTCCACTTAAATTTCACTAGAAAGGGGATTATTCATTTTCTGCACTATATAGCTTGTTCTGCTGTATAAAATTCGGACCGGTATGGTACTTGAAAAGAACCGCGGAGTTTACAGATTAAAGTCTAGACTACCTAGGTGGAGTCGATAAACTGGGCTTTGCAACCAATGTAGGCTGGCAAGATATATGTGTGTCACACTCAACTCTTTTACATTTGAATCTGAGCTGAACTGAACCGACCTTTTCGGTCCTATTTTGTACTGCCCTGTCCAGTACACCAATTACACAGGGGACACACGGCAGGGGTATGCATAGTTAGCCTAGCTCTGTAGGCCGAACTAGCTGGTGCAACTAGGTTGACACGGTCTGACTTTAGTCTGCGTTAGATACAAATTAAAATCACTGACACGGCAAGTTTGCGTGACTTACCTGATTGCGCTGTACAGGATATACAGGGAAGGATATTGAATCTGAAATAATATTTCCTTCTCTATCCACACAGTAAACTAGCAAACTAGCAGTTGGCATCATCTCCTGCAGCAATAAGAGTAGAAGTAAAAAGTGAAAGATTTTAATTTTTTTAAGCATTAGATTTTATATCTATATTTCCTATAGCAGGCCAAACGGCTGGACCAAATGGGTTGAATTATTTTGAGGGAACCCATGTGTGACCCAGGGGTAACATAGACAAAAAAAAATTCAAAATAAAAATTCATTTCTTCTAAAATTCGATTTTAAAAAATTCCACGGGCAACGCCGTACCCTTAAGTCAGCTAGCACATAATATAAATTTGATAAAATTAATAAATTAAAATTATGAAGCTGAAATAATCGGAGCAATTTATAGATTAAAGAAAAATTTTAAGGGAGTGACCGGCTATGCAAGGTAGTTTAACTGAGTATGCAGTGGTGTGGAAAACTTCTTTCGGATTCATTTGAGACATTTGAGATCTATAAATCCTGAGTTTAAGCGCTAATTCGACGTTCAAAACTCCTACTTTGTGGATGAATACGTTTTCAGAATTTTAAATTATTAAATAATGACGACATAAAATTAAAAAAAGTTCTTCAATAAACTACAGACGTGATGTTTAGGAACATGTTGAGAAAATAAAAAGTAATCTTATCATCGAAAATAAGTAATCTTGTTTAATTATTAGTTTCTATTTTCTCATTATTCTGGTTTCTCATTAATCACAAAGATTTTCTGCAGATTTTATAGAATTATTATTGAAAAGACGACATTTAAAGAATTTGAAGAAATCTGCGGATAAATTAAAAGAAAATTAAAAATTCAATATAATGATGAAAACGAAATAATTGATTTATTGACAAATTTCTTTTGAGAAATATGTTTCTAACCATGTAATTAGATTACTGTATAATTTTTCTTTATTTTTCGTTGTCTTTATTTAATAATTTAAAAAAAACTAATTCTGAAAACGTATCCACCCCCAAAGTAGAAGTTTTGAACGTCGAATTTGCGCTCAAACACAGGATTTACAGATCTTTAAAAAGTTTAATATGTTTCAAATGAATCCGAAAGAAGTTTTCCACAACACTGCATACTCAGTTCAACTACCTTACATAGCCGGTCACTCCCTTTAAAAAAATTAAATTCTTTTATTTTAATATAGACTCAAATTTCAATTGACCTTTCAATTATAGAGTGTCTATTGGCATGCCTTATTCACAACAGTACCCTTTTAATATAAGATATTGAAAGAGAGATAAATTCATCAATTTTCTTTTTGAGTCTTTTGCATAAATCCGCTACTGATACCATCAATTTTAGCTCGGAACAATTTTAGGGTACCATGTGAATAAGACATGCCATGCCATAATTAGACGGAATGTAAAAACGGAGACAGACCCCAACTTTTACAAAGGTGAAATCTTAATAAAACAAACTTAAAACAAAGTATTTAATGTCAAATTTAATTTCGATTTAAGCTAAAGATTGGAAAAGAAAAAGTCCCTAAAAAATATGTCCCCAAAAAAGGGTGATTATGGAGTTTCAAGCCATTTTGTTACCCTCTTTACAAATATTTACTTGAATCAAAAATGTGAAACACAAAAAACCCTTTCCAGAATTAACCTTAATAACATGGGTCCAAAGTTTGATAATTTTTACTACATTGAAAGTCAATAAACCCCTCTAATCATCCTGTTTTTTGAAACACCCTATATATTTTAAAGATACCTGAAGGATTGAGATATGAAAAGTTTTTGAAAGATAAAACTTCATATCAAGGCTAAAACTCTCATGTATACCTCCACTTCCAGCTAATATTCATTATTCAATTTAGGATATTTTAGACTTTCAAAATATTCATTTTGAAACTATGAAACTATTTATATGTTTTGATGTTCTCGCGTTTTGGTAAAACTAAGCTTTTAACATATTTGCTGCTCTTGATTCAATATATTGTTTTCTATATACACTCAAATGTTCAATGTTCTTATATATATCTATTTATGTAATTGTCTTCAATGTATATATGTATAAAATGGAATTGAGTCTTTGCCGCACACTCTAATTTGCAATCCCATATTTGCAACCCAATCTGTAGACCTTAGATATTTCCAACTTTGAAATAATTCTGGTTAAAGATAAAAAAATTAAGTCAGAAACATTAAAGGTTTACACCATCAGTTGCAAAGATATAGGGATAAGAAAATTTGAGTTTGTGGCAAGGACTCAATTTCTTTGGCTCCTGATGTCGTATATAACCTTTGTTATTTCACAAGACCCCAAGAAAGGTTTATATGGATGATGAAAAGTGAACAATTTTACCTAGAAAAATGTTGATATTTTAATTTTAGAAAATCTATCAATGTTTGTAGAAAAATCCGCAAAATGTTGAGCAGCTGACAAGCCTAACGTATATAATAATGGAAAAATTCTTTTTATGGTATTTCTATTCATTCTTGTTCTTTTTTAACAAAGTTTTTTAATCTTAAAGGAGGTTTTAATGAAAACAAACAATTTTCTCAAAATTGAATGAAATATTATTCCTAGGATATAGAATACATGCTTAATATATCGGTTGAGACGAACATGGAACACCGTGTTTTCTCCAACCTAAAGCAAAAACATGTCAGATCAGGGAAAACATGTTTTTTTTCGAAACCACAACAAGTCAAACCTGTTTAAAGGTATTAGTGCATTTAACTTAGTTTATTGTGAATATTGGTGCATTTAACTTAGTTTAGTGTGAAAATTGGTGTATTTAGCATAGTTTAGTGTGAATATTGGTGCATTTAACTTAGTTTAGAGTTAATATTGGTGCATTTAACTTAGTTTACTGTGAATATTGGTGTATTTAACTTAGTTTAGTGTGAATATTGGTGTATTTAGCTTAGTTTAGTGTGAATATTGGTGTATTTAACTTAGTTTAGTGTGAATATTGGTGTATCTAGCTTAGTTTAGTGTGAATATTGGTGTATCTAGCTTAGTTTAGTGTGAATACTGGTGTATTTAGCTTAGTTTAGTGTGAATATTGTTGTATTTAGCTTATTTTAGTGTGAATATTGGCGTATTTTAGTGTGAATATTGGTGCATTTAACTTAGTTTAGTGTTAATATTGATGCATTTAACTTAGTTTAGTGTGAATATTGGTGTATTTAGCTTAGTTTAGTGTGAATATTGGTGTATTTAACTTAGTTTAGTGTGAATATTGGTGCATTTAACTTATTTTAGTGTGAATATTGGTGTATTTAACTTATTTTAGTGTGAATATTGGTGTATTTAGCTTAGTTTAGTGTGAATATTGGTGCATTTAACTTATTTTAGTGTGAATATTGGTGTATTTAACTTATTTTAGTGTGAATATTGGTGTATTTAGCTTAGTTTAGTGTGAATATTGATGTATTTAGCTTAGTTTAGTGTAAATATTGGTGTATTTAGCTTAGTTTAGTGTGAATATTGGTGTATTTAGCTTAGTTTAGTGTGAATATATATTGTGTACTACTTACCACTGATTTTCTTGTAGAGGTTGAGACGAAAATTCGATACTGTGAATCATTTCTGAGAAACAACAATATATTTTTTCAAATACATGTTTCAGAATAAAATGAAATCAACGTTAAACTTTTTTTGTTTGTTTTTAATGTGTTTCTGAAACGTTTTAAAGAATGTTAAAATGCATTTTTATATTAAAAAAAACATGTTTTGTTTTGTACTCTGGATTTTTGATTAATAATTGTGTCGACACATAAATTGAAGATTCTTGATAAATTACTTTTTCGTAATCTTTCAGAGAGAAACTTTTGTCCCAAAATATGATATATTTGTATATATATATATATATATTTCTGATATATGATATATAATATTCTTTATATAAGTTTCATTTAAATAAATTTGAAGAGCAGTTTAAATGACGTACTGAAACATTTTATTCTATTTAGTGCTTGGTCTTCTTTTAGATTATCATGTTTATAGTTGGACTCCTGTATCTAATTCTAACATATCTTTGTAATCTTTGTTTGTCTGTTTGTTTGTTTGTCTCATCATAACTTGCGAACCCCTGGACCAATTTGCCTCAAATTTAGGCAGCGCTGCAGGGCCGGGTTCCCAAGCTATAATATAATAAAACAAGACATTCGTCTATATGTTCCCTACAGCCGGCCAAACGGCTGGACCGAATGGGCTGACATTTTTTTAGGGTGCCCGGAAAGTAATATAGGTTTAATTAAATTCTAGATTTTTTTTTCAAAAATCGATTTTTTTAATCGAGATTTTTTTCATAAAACCCGGATTTTTTAAAAAGATTTGATTTCAAAAAATTCCACGGGCAACGCCGGGCACTTTGGCTAGTATAATATATAGTAAATAAATTAAATACATATATCTAATATCAATATATAATATAAAATCAATATATCATATAAATATATAATATTAATATGACCCCACTATAATATGTAGAGAAGATCCCCTTTGTAATAAACGACAAATATTATTGTTCATAAAAATTCCTGACTTATCCTTTTCCTCTAAATCCTGAACCTTGCTCACGTAGAATTCTGGAATTTGATTACATGGTTAGAAACATAGATAACGATAGATTGCGCATAAGACGACATTTTTCATCTTGAAAGATATAAATGTACAGAGGTGTTTTAAAGATATTCCTATTTTATAGATTAATTAGGTCGGTTGTGAACATTGGCTGTTCTTATGGCATTGAGTACTTGTGGTGTAGATGAGTTCTGTAGACAGAAATTTAAGTTAGTTTATTCCTTCTCATGTCCTTCTTCAGTTCTCGTCAATATGATATATTGCTCAGTGAAATATTGTTGTTCAAATAGTTCCATTCCCGGAGTTAATTTACACTCTATTATGAAATCCATTAAAACACCAAATCACCCCGCTTATCATTGAAGTACACTTTGACCCTTAGAAGTATGAGTTCGCGGACTGTACAATTCTTGGTGATTTTGCGTACATAAGCTATCTATGTTTATTTATTTATCTATGGTTAGAAATAATCCTACAATGATAATCATAAAACTCTGGAATAGGGAGATGACAATTGGGAACATTGAACACTGATCAGAAAAGGAAGGAAAAATATAAGGAACACGTAAATCAGGGAGTACGGAGCATGACGCACAGATTAGGGAATGTGAACATAAGAAATATCTATATGGAATACAGAATACAACATACATACAAAAAGAATAATATTTAAACAAAGTTTAAAAAATTTAAATCATTGTTTTCCTGATTTTAAGTTGAATCTGCTGTTCTGTTTTCTTCTCTGCTGTTTCACACTCTAGGTGCAGAACTAATCCAGATAAATCAGCTGCAGAGACATCTAGCGATAACAATATAAATAAATATTTATGAGTTTTCATCAAGAGCACAAATACGGCAGTTGCAGAGACATCTAGCGACAATAATATAAATAAATATTTACATTAAAGGGTTGGGCATTTTAATATAATATTCAATCTAATCGTAAAAGACAGGCCCATTTTGTTCCACTTTTCGTTTTCAATTGACAGCTGAACTTTCAGTTAATGATTTGAAACTGAACGACTCTTCCCGTCAACGGAATTTCTAAAATGTCCCTTACGGAAAAATCGATAATAATGAAAATACTTTAATGTTTTCTTCTCTGAAAGAAGTTGGCGTAAAAATCTAAACTAAAGGAGCTACAAAGTCACATATTTGTACCAGTAATATTGCACAACTTTGACCTTCTCCATCTGTTTAGAGAAGCATAAGGAGGTTTTTACAGAGCCCGCGATTTAAAAAATAAGACTGAGGTCCATGCTATTGCTGTCTCTAATTTAAGGCTTTTGAATTTAAGTTACAAATAATTTTAAATAAAAAAAGTTACATAATGTATTCGGTTAATTTTCACATGGTTGGAATTAGCAGATTCGAGAGATGTGATGAGAAAAAGACTCAACATTGAGCCTGTTTTTAAACTTAAACCAACCAAGGTCGGTTTTATTTTCATTGAGCCTTAAGTTGAGTCTAAGAGTTGGCAGCTGTCAATCACGTGACACATGCACAAGATGTTGTCAGCTGATTCGTAAGTTGGGTCGAAGATTAAGCCTTAAACTGGATTTAAGGAATTAAGACTCGAGCCGAAGATTTTAAATTGCAAATAAATCAAAAGTTTAACACTCCATGGGAAATGTAAGATGTTGAACCTGTAAATTCTGTCATCAAGTTCTTGATATCGATCCAGTACTTCCAGTAGGGGTTCTCCTCCTCCTTCATCGTAGGTTCTGGAATCTTCGATATCCTACAAGATTTTTCTTTAAAAATTATTTTCATGTAACCGCCCCCAACCAACCACTCCACCCTCTTGAAAATCGTTGTTTTTCCCAGATGTTAAAGATGACAATAAGCCCCGATTTACAACGGTACCATTGAAACCTTAATCTGATAAAAAATGTAGAAGATGTCGAAAAGTGTTTATTTCTATTTCTGCATTGTTTCTTAAAAACAAAAGATTTTCGCCGAGAAACTTCAACTGAATATGAACAGTTTAAAGAAACAAAAACGTTGATCTATTTTTACTTAATCATGGGCAAAGATATCGCACGTTGTAAATCGAGCATTATAATCTTTGCATGGAGGATCACATGAAATTACAATCCCTTAAAGCGCAGTTCTTTTCTAGTCAGTAAGTAAGTAATCATTTATTTACGAAAAATAATAAAAACATACAAAATTAAGTGTTTAAGGAGAAAATATTTGAAAACCTCCAAAAATAGAGGTGGTGGAAATATTGCCCCCCAATTCTAAAAATAAAAGAAAAAAGAAAAAGAAAAAAAGGAAAGAAAAGGAAAGTAACATATTTATTGTTTACATTAAACTAATGGTGGATTGTTAATATTTTTCGACGATGAACTAACAACTTTTTGAAATAAAAATGATAGATTTAATTGTAATGTTTATGGGTTGTGAAAAATGTATAGGTTTAACGTAAAATGGGCATTTTTAAGCATCTTTTAAATTCGTGCTGATTTTTGACTCCTTTATGTTTTATTATATCTTTTACTCTTTTTAATCTTTTTAGTCTTTTCTTTGTAAAATCGTCTTTGCTTTCTTCGATTTTATCCGCTAAATTTTGAACAGAAATACATAATTGTTTGGAGGGAAAAGTATCACCATGGTGGGAAAACTTTCATTTTCCCCTCAGATCTTTAAAATCAGTAGATAGGGGGAAGGGCTAAAGGGAATTAATAATACCTTAATCTGAAGAGGAGTGTCCAACATTATCCAGCTACTTTTAATCCCATGAACTCTATATTAAACATTATTCATTTCAAAGCAAGGAAATTTTTACTAGCCTCAATCTTAAGTTCTTAATCCATAATCTTGTTTTTTAATCTATGAATTGTATTAGATCCATTAATGATCTAAGTTTGAAATATTAAAGGGTTACAACATCAGGTTGCAAAGATAAAGGGATATAGGAATAAGAATATTTGAGTGTGTGGCAAAGACTCAATTCCTTTGGGAGCCCACTTGACTTAGAATTCTGAAACATTGGCTTAGGAAAATAACAGCGAAAATAAAATCAAAACTTGAGGCAAATCGGTCAAGTGGTTCCTGAGTTATTATCGGACAAACAAACAGAGATTACAACTTTATTGGGAACCCAGCTTAGCCTTGAAACTAAGTTTTCTTTCCTAGGGTTCCTCAGTCAAAATTTGAGGCAAATCGGCTATACAATCAAACAAACAAAGATTACTACGTTATATATATATACAAATATATTTTCTTTACCTAATTTTAAGTTGAGAATCTTGAACTTGAACAGTCCTGAATCCTTGATTCCTTTCCTGGTATCTTTGATCTACAACCTCGGCCCTGATTAAATATATTCTTAAATCTGTAGAAATGGAACTTAAATATAAAGAACCGCAGAACTGTAGACCTTAAAACTTAAGAACTGTAGAACTTAAATATAAAGAACTGTAGAACTGTAGAACATAAATCTAAAGAATCGTAGAAACGTAGACCTTAAAACTTAAGAACTGTAAAACTGCAGAAATTAAACTGAAAGAAATGATAAAACTGTTGACCTTAAGCCTAAAGAATTGTGGAACTGTAGAACTTAAATATAAAGAACCGTAGAACTGTAGACCTTAAAACTTAAGAACTGTAGAACTGTAGAACTTAAATATAAAGAACTGTAGAACTGTACAACATAAATCTAAAGAATCGTAGAAACGTAGACCTTAAAACTTAAGAACTGTAAAACTGCAGAAATTAAACATAAAGAAATGATAAAACTGTAGACCTTAAGCCTAAAGAACTGTAGAATTGTAGACCTTAAACCAAAAGAACTGTGGAACTGTAGAACTTAAACCAATAGAACCTGTAGAATTGTAGACCTTAAACCTAGAACTGTGGAACTGTAGACCTTAAACCAAAAGAACTGTGGAACTGTAGACCTTCAACCAAAAGAATTGTAGAACTGTAGAACTTAAACCAATAGTTCTGTAAAACTATAGACCTTAAACCTGAGGAACTGTAGACCTTAAACCCAAAGAACTGTAGAACTGTAGAACTGTAAAAATGAAACCAATTATTGCTGCTAATTAAGCAATTTTTTTTGTTTAATATAAGCGATTGTTAATTGAAATTTAGAGTGTAATTAACATTTGTCTTTTTACCTGACGATAATTTGAATATTTTGGGCAGCCAAGGTTTGTTTCAATATATCCTGTACTGGTATACTCAGCTTCCAGGATCCATTAAACTGGACATGTAAGGGACTGTTCATATAATTACTAGTGATCTTTTTTTAACAAGTTACATGCACACCAGTTCTCTTTAACCCTTTCACAAAGCATAAGAACGAAGATATAATTAATGTTCTATTTAGAAATGAAAATTTTTATATTATAAAGAATTGCAGATTTTTGCAAAAGAGTTTAAAAAAAGAGCTCAATGTTTGTTTACATATTCCTCCCATACACTATGCAGTAACTTGTAAACAAATATAAAGTGCTTTAATAACTTACAAAGTTAAGAACAGATTGTCCAACCCCCAGCCTGCAATCTTGTAAATGTTCCAATCTAAAAATATAGAATTTTGAAAATCTATAATTTTCGTTGTAAAAAAGAGGACATAGTCCAAATCATTGTGAGTTGATAAAATATGTATATCAAAATTGTTAATTACTGCCAGTTAAAAATACAAAGATGTTTAAATACATATAAACATTATCTGATTTAGTTTTCAATTATAGATTTGGATTTTTCCAAGCATTGGCAGAATTGAAACAACATTATTTGCTTAACAATTTTTACAACTTGACACACCCTAAAGAAACTCTTTGCGAAATTTCAAGTAACCCGATTTGATAATGACCAATTTACTTCGGTACCCTTGAAACCTGTATCAGAGCAAAAATGTGGAAAATAACGTCGTTTTTCTGACTCAAAAAGATGTTTACTCTTGATTTTTTCTACATTGTTACTTATAAGCAATATGCGCAAATAACTTTAGAAGAAAAAATACATGGATATTCATAATTCATAAATCATACTTGATGAAAGTGACTGTAAATGAAAAATGAAAAGGGGTATAGAATGAAACCTGAGAATCTCAGGCGTTGAACGATTCCTGTAAGACATCTATCTGATGTTCCTGTCACGAGAAATTGATATAAATCTATGTCAAAATTATACTGCACTGCTATTGGCTGAAATTCTGGTGAAGTAATACAGACTATACGGACTAAATGAAATAATATTATTAATTATATCTATTAAAAATGCAACATAAAAATTGAAAAATTAGAATAGGAGCAAACCTGATATTCTCAGGCTCCTGTGGGATATAATCATTTTCAGATTGGTTTTGTATTTGTTAAATATGATCTGTTTAAACCTACTACTTTTATACAAAATTGTATATATATAAGAATTTTTGTATAATTTTGACACAGTTTTATATCAATTTCTCGTGACAGGAACATCAGGTAAATGTTTTATATGTATCGTTCAACGCCTGAGATTCTCAGGTTTCTGCCTATACCCCATTTCATTTTTTCTTTACAGTCCCTTTGAACAAAGGTTTAAATCAGTACGGTTGTAAACCGGGCATTGTCATCCTTGTCACTTTAAATTACGCAAACAGTCCCTTTAATATTTGAAGTCCCTTTACCTGCGCTTGTAAAACATGTGAGAATACTGGAAACTGGTTTGTTTGTTTATGTACTGCCAGCTGGCATCTGATAAAGTATAGTTCCAACTTCCAAACTCTAAAAATATTATTCGAATTATCTAACGCACAGTTAGAATTAAAGATCAGCATATCAGTATGTTAGATACTTAGTATGATAGATATTCGTATGTGTATGATATATATCTATATGTGTATGATATATATATTTATATATCATTATGTTAGAATTGGCTAACGCTTTTTTTGGAATTCCATTACTTACAGAGATAAAAACTAATTGCATTATCACTACAAAAACAAAGTATATAAAGCTTTAGGAATTGAACATTTGCTCAAATTTCTCATTCTTAAATCTTTGCAACCTACTGGTGTAAACCTTTAATTTCCCAAACTTGGATTATTTGTTCTAACATAATTCATAGTTCGAAATATGTAAGGTCAACAACATTGGGTTGCAAGGGAATTTGGGCAAAACCTCAGTAAAGTTTAGCTATGATTGAAACAAAACTTAAAATCTACAAAAGACACCATTTTTGGAAAATTTAAAAAACCATAATTTTTGTGGAACTATTTACATTAAAGGTGTTCTCTGAAAGAAGAAAAACTATTTAACAGTTGGAACAAATTTATATTTTATTGTCTCGAAACACATATACACTTTTAGGGGTAACTTTTTATAAATTTCCTATAATCAAAATCTTGACCCATAATTTAGTGTAAAAAACTAATTTTTAACGGAAAAATGAAAATATTTATGATACCTGATTTTATCTCTGCCTGAACTGTCAGATTGCCCTCCACTGGTCGCCCTGAACAAAAACATATTCTTTTTTTATTTTCAAATAATGAAAAAGTTCTATTTCTGAAACGTTTCTTGAAGTTCAAAAACAGAAATGTAACTTCTTAAAAAAAAAAAATATTTCTTTAAACAAAATAGAAACATTTTTGTGAATAATTAAATTTTCTATAATTATTTACCGGAATCTGAGTACTTTGCTGAAACTGTGACAGACATACATTTTGTAGAATCAGAAACTTGTTCAGCAGAATCTATCCTTACATGAAACCTTTCAGAGTCAGGTTCCAGAACATAGAACCCTTTCTCCAGGTTCTAAATATATATAAAGTTAGGTTCCAGTACATATAGAATCCTTTCTACAGTTTCTAAATATAGATAGTTAGGTTCCACTACATATGTAAAACCATTTTTTCAGGTTTAAAATATATAGATATTTAGGCTCCAGTACAAATTGAACCCTTTCTACAGGTTCTTAATATATATATATAGTTGGTTCCAGTCATATAGAACCCTTTCTCCAGGTTCTGAATATAAATATATAGTTAGGTTCCAGTACATATAGAACCCTTTTCCAGGTTCTGAATATAAATATATAGTTATGTTCCAGTACATATAGAACCCTTTCTCCAGGTTCTAAGTATATATATAGATAGGATCCAGTTCATAGAACCCTTTCTCTGAGGTCTAAATATATATAACAGGGGGTGTCCCAGAAAAAATACTGCAAACTAGCCAGGAGGCGAAGGTCAAATTCAATTGACATACCTGTTACAACTTTGTGGTTCCATTGCTTTTTTAGTTCTGATTTCACGCACAATTGTAAGAAAAGCAAATTTATTTGGTCAAATATTATAAATTTTAATTCTTCTCTATTTATTTTTCAATAACTACCAGACTACCCATGAGTGTGCACAATAAATGTCAGCACATTCGGTCCAGCAGTTTGGCCAGCCAAAGGGATCATATATATATATATGAATGTCTTGTTTTATTATATAGATGAGCACTGAGGAGGCCTTTTATGATTATAGAATATTATGCATTTATGACTAGGATTAGAGAATATATCTGACAAAGTTACCTTATTATAAATTGACTGCAGAATAGTGGTTCAGGAGGGATGGAGGGGGGGGTGGGGGAGTTGAGCTTTTTTTTATTAAAAAAGCGTTTTTGCCACAACCTCAAATTCTTTAATTTCTTTATCGTTGCAATCTGATGATGTAAACCTTTGAATTTAAACCGTTGACTATTTGATTTATCATAATTCATATCTATGACATCGGGTTGCAAAGCATAGGAATTTTTGAAAAAGAATACGGTCTCCACTTCATTTACATTTACTCTGAATTTGGCGAAAATCTTTTAGTTAATATAAATAATGTTTTGTTTTGTTGATCACTTATTCTAAACACTGGAAAATATAGAAAAACTGGACTCAGACAAATAACATAATCAGTTCTTTTATACAGGATAGATCTTCAAGATAAATAGATATATAGATTGATAGTTATATAGGTAAAGAGATAAATAGATTCTATCCAAAAATCGTATTAAAGTTATTTCAGTTATTTCATCACTTTACAGTACAGTACAGCACAGTACAGTACAGTACTGTACAGTACAGTACAGTACAGTATAGTACAGTACAGTACAGTACAATACAGTATAGTATAGCACGGTATAGTGCAGTGCTATACAAGTGTAAATAATCCATCCCTATAGCAAAATATATATGCAGTTTGATTTGTTTTTTTCTCTATGTGTACATATACATATATATATATATACAGGGTTAACCAAAAAAGCTGAGACTGTAAAGAAGACCTGAAAAATATGTCGATTTCAAAGTTAATATAAGGCTTCTGCCTTGAAAATGATCTATGAATAGCTTACTGGCTTTAATATCAAAGAAAGAAACCAGTTTTAAAGGTGCAGGAAATCATGAAACAAATGAACAGTATTAATTCCGTACAGTCGTCTCTGAAATCTCATCCTTTATGGGTCACCCTATACATTGCTAGGGCTTAATGACCCTCTGCTCTGCGGGATTAATGAACTTTCTGATTAACAACATTCAATATAAGTATTCACAATATCACATCAAACTAGATCAGAAATCAGTCAAAAATATTATAATATTTTCTAAAAATCGTGTTTTACTTTGCTCTTGATCTACAGATTAAATAATTAATATTTCTGTTTAAAGCTGATCGATCAATCCCCCCACCCTTCACACGATGTTAGGGACTTTCCCAAGAGTATTTTCAGAAACTTCCCAATTGTGAAATTTCTCCAGGAGCAATTTCCCAAGTCTATCCTAGCCGCAAAATTCAGCCCCCTAGCCCTTCCTAACCGCAGTGCTCTGCCCCATTGCAGCCTGCCACGCCACAGAAGGTCTAACAACCTAACCTTTGGGAAGTTGCCGCTTTGGAAATTGCACATTTGGGAAGTTGTCATTTGGAAAATTGTTGCCCTTGGATGCCTTTGGGCAAGTACCTAACACCCCTTACATCACACACACCCTAAGTTCCTTTACCTCCATATTGCAAGAACAAGTCTACAATAGAATTTCATAATTAGATGGAAACTCTTTAATTATTTTTTACGACACGACTCCCTCACGTTTAATTAATCCTTCATATGTGCATAAAAACTCCTCTTATTGAAGATCAAAAAAGTTTTTAATTTCAAGTATGTGATTTGACCTGATTTAGGCAGGGTGTCGTTATGAAACCCAGTATTGAAAAATGTTTAAAACCATCGGCTTCATCTGATTATCAATCAAAATGATATTTTTTTTGAGCGAGATAAATTCTGTCCATTTCCTTTCTTGTCTTCTGCCTGTATTCGAAATCCCCCATTAGAAATTATAAATTTTGGAAAAAAAGGATATTTCCATCAGTTTTGCTAAGACACAGCGGGTTTAAAGGTGCACTTGTGAATTATTCCGACAGTTCTTTCAAACAAAAAAAATGTAAAATGTGGAATTCTTTAAATAATTAATTTTGAACTTTAGAGGTTTAAAGTGGTCGAGAAAATAACCCTCCAAGTATTTTATAGATATATCGACAAGATCGAGAGTGCTTGTCTTAAAGGGAATGTAAATACAATTTTAAGTAACACTCGAATTACAGAATTCATTGCACAGCATCTATATAATAAAAATATGTTCCCTCTGGCCAGCAAAACGGCTGGACCGAATGGGCTGAAATTTTTTGTGGACACTCCTGGGTAGCCTGGAGGTGTTAAAGGCTAAAAAAATATGTTTTTTAAACATTTTTTCTTCAATTTTTTTCCACGGGCAACGCCGGGCCCTTCAGTTAGTATTATGTAAAGGGATATTTTATTCAAATTTGATCAGACACAAGGTACCATTCTAAATCCATGACATTTTAAATGGAGGGTCACTTGAAATTTCATATTCAAAGTTGAAACCTCATACTTTCTATCTCGGTTACAATTAGGCATTTTTCTTTTGAAGCGTTGAATTCTAATAACTTTTTCATCGTCTTTGCAGCATAAAACTGAGCTACTTTGGATATCTCATTCATGCCCTAATCAGACAAAGGTTTTTCAACCGGAGCATATATTCACATTGGCGAATACAAGACTTGTACACCGGGGGTTAGGCTCGTAGACATTTCTATAGCTGTTTAAAACAAGAATTTCATTTATTGATTGTTTGCGGAAACTGCGGAAATAAAACCCTGGAGCATAAAAATGATTGTATTTCTTCTCCAAATTATTATATTTTTATCAAAAAATATATATATGTAAATATACACATATAATCCTCTTTCAAGCAAATCCTCCTGGGGAAGGTGGGGGGAGGGTATACTTAATGCATATTTCTATCCGTCTTTATTTCAATCAATCTCCTAAATATCTATCTTTCTTTCCACTTTTTTATCTATCTAAATATGCAGTACATATGTAAATCACGCATTTAGAATCTGCATAAAGTTTCCCGTAACGATAAAAACATTTCTTATAAAATTCAGTTTTTCAAGAATAGATTTATATTTGAATTCTCTTAGTAATCCGAAAGTCTAGCTTAACCATATAAAGAGCAATTCAAGCAATTCAAAGGTCAAAAATGTGATTGCTAGAGCAAAAACTTTGTATTACAATCAACTAGCGAGAGTGCCCGGCGTTGCCCGTGGAATTTTTGAGGATAAAAATTCAAATTTCACCTCGGGTGACCATGGGTTACCTAAAAATATTTAGCTAATTCGGTCCAGCCGTTTGACCGGCTATGGCTGACTCATGTAAATGAGCAAAGAGCTTTATGATATAGAATAGCTAGAAGGTTTTAAAAGCGTAAGGAAAAGTAAAAAGTGGCTTTTATACGTTTGTTTAGTAATTTTATCATTATAAAAATTATCGGCAAGCCTCTGCCTTCTAACCTGATTCTCTACTTGAAGCTTGATTGTCCACCTGCCCAGGGGGGTTGAGCTGGCCAGCAGATAGTCCACTTTCATCCCTTCATTGTTCAGTATACGTCGAGACCATTCAGAGACAACCAAACCTATAATAAGGAGGTCAATACGTCGAGAACAATCAGAGACAACCAAAACTATAATAAGCAGGTCAATACGTCGAGACCATTTAGATACAACCAGACCTATAACAAGGTGGTCAATATGTTGAAACCATTCAGATACAACCAGACCTATAACAAGGTGGTCAATACGTCGAGACTATTCAGAGACAACCAGAGCTATAACAAGGAGGTCAATACGTCGAGACCATTCCGATACAACCAAAGCTATAACAAGGAGGTCAATACGTCGAGACCATTCAGATACAACCAGAGCTATAACAAGGTGGTCAATACGTCCAGACTATTAAGATACAACCAGAGCTATAACAAGGAGGTCAATATGTCGAGACCATTCAGATACAACAAGACCTATAACAAGGAGGTCAATACATCGAGACCATTCAGAGACAACAAGACCTATAACAAGGTGGTCAAAACGTCGAGACAATTCAGATAAAACCAGAGCTATAACAAGGTGGTCAATACGTCGATACCATTCAGAGACAACCAGGCCTATAACAAAATGGTCAATACGTTGAGACCATTCAGATACAACAAGACCTATAACAAGGAGGTCAATACGTCGAGACCATTTAGATACAACCAGAGCTATAACAAGGTGGTCAATATGTCGAGACCATTCCGATACAACCAGAGCTATAACAAGGAGGTCAATACATCGAGACCATTCCGATACAACCAGAGCTATAACAAGGAGGTCAATACGTCGAGACCATTCAGATACAACCAGAGCTATAACAAGGTGGTCAATACGTCGAGACTATTCAGATACAAACAAAACTATAACAAGGAGGTCAATACGTCAAGACCATTCAGATAAAACTAGAGCTATAATAAGGTGGTCAATACGTCAAGACTATTCAGATACAACCAGAGCTTTAACGAGGAGGTCAATACGTCGAGACTATTCAGATACAACCAGACTTATAACAAGGAGGTCAATACGTCGAGACCAATCAGATATAACCAGAGCTATAACAAGGAGGTCAATACGTCGAGACCATTCAGATACAACCAGAGCTATAACAAGGAGGTCAATACGTCGAGACCATTCAGATACAACAAGACCTATAACAAGGAGTTCAATACGTCGAGACCATTCAGAGACAACAAGACCTATAACAAGGAGGTCAATACGTCATTTTATGGTTTATCCCTGACTAAACAACCGGTTTACAGGGTACCGTTATAATCGAACATGAACTTCAGTTTAAACGAAGGGTGACTTGAAATTGCAAAAGGACAGTTCATTTAAAAACGTGAATTTGGATATTAGCTTTACCTGCTGGGGATATTAGAGAACAGTGGATATATCCAGTGTAAAGAGAGGTTTGGATATCCTTGAGAAAGATCTGGATACCAACTAAATATATAACAAAATGAAATACTCTGTAAAAATGAATATATTTTCCATTTTGAATATACATATCATATACATTGAACTAGCTATGAATATATTTACAAATTTGCAGGCTTGAATTCAAAGAGGTGTTCTCTGCAAAATTTTAAAATTTAAATATTTGAAATATGTTCGAGGCTGCAAAATAACAAATGAAGATTTCACATTTTATTCTCGAAGGAAAATCATTGCAACTCTGGAAAGAGAAAGAGTCTAATTTTCAAGGAAAAGATTCAAGGAAAGACAAGTTCAGATATTCTAACAAAATCTTCTTGTTCGTACAGGGTTTACCCAAAAAATATGAGACTCTTCAGAGACAACTGTACGGGAACATTCAGTATTTTCCTCTTACAATCATCCCGGTTCAAATTGTTCTTTCTTTACCCAAACATTAAATAAGCCATTAACAGGCCATATTCAAGGCAAATAAAATAATTCGACCTTAAAGTCGATAAATTTTAAGATTAAGAACCCCCTGAAAAGCTTTGTCTGACCAAGAAGGAATTAGATATTTGTGTTTATAATTTGGAAAACTTTTTATTTTCAATTGTGATTTTTATGTGATTTTCGCATTTGTACAGTAGGAGGAAAAAACATGGGAATTATCACAAATAAACACTTTTTATCATAGAAAAAATCGACAATATTTCCCACATCGTTGATCAGAAAAGGGTTGTAATGTTACCGTGTTAAATCAATGATTGTCATCTTTGCATGGAAGGCAAGGAGTATGGACTATAAAGGAGATAGAATCGACCTGGCCCGCCCTACCATATGATTAAACATGCTTTGCAGACGGGGTCCTCCATTTGAATAAGAGTTTTTAAAAGGTCGTCTTTAAACTTTTAAGTGTGTTTTTTTTCTTTACCATATTAAATTTTTCATTTTAAAAAATACGTACATGTATTGCTAATATTTTTGCGTCCCAAAAATATATATTTATTTGCGTTATTCAGTCTAATTTTTCCCTGTTCATTGTATACAATAACCTATTCTGAAAATATGTAGTGTAGGCGGTATTTGTACAAAATCGAGTAATTTTAGCTTGAATTTTGTGTTGTGTAAGACATTTTCTAATTTGTCAACAAGACTAGAAATTTAAGGTTGAACTGAATTTCACAGTGAAAATTCAGTTTTACCTGAACTTGCTGTTATATGTATGATATAGCAAAGGGAAGATTTTCATAATTTAATTTCTACTTCAAAATTTTAGAATATTGGACACCAGAAAATGTTGCTAACTTTGATTACTACTAACGTTCACTGATTTTGAACTGTCTAGACAAAATATTGGACACCAGGAAATGTAGCTTTTGAACTGTCTGGACAAAATATTGAAACTGAGGCAATAATTTTCTGCAAAATTTGAATTATTGAATTTTATGATACATACTGGAATATTTTACAACATTTTATGTAAGTATATCTTCATATAAATTCGAAAGAACAACAAACCAGTTCGATAAGAATATCTTAACTCAGGACAAATGTACTGTTCAAAGAAGGTTTTATATTGTTGGTCCGAGGGAACAGCTTTAGTGAAGAATTTTTCAGACATATTAGATCGTCAATGAGTATAAATTATGAATTTCGAGACTAATCAGAAGCTTGGTGATAATCTAATATGTTATGGGACGCTCTGTACCATAAACACAGAGGTGAGAGAAGGCACATCACACCATTTTTTCGTCCGCACCACAAATGACCATTTATTTCTTCCGACCACGCCTTTATTCGTCCGAGCGTTGCTTTGTGTATTATAATGTATAATTGTATGCCTTTTTTCAGATTTAGGCAACGTCATGTTTTCAATATGGTTTAATTGTATTTTAAATGCATTTTGCATAAAAAATTAAAAGAAAAATTTAACAAAGAAATAAAAATGTGTGCACCACAACTATTTTCCGTCCGGACCACTGCAACTTTACCGGGACTTTAAGGATCTACAACTGAAAATTTGCTTTTTTGAATGAAGTATTTATATAAAGTACCGTCTCCAAAGCACTTATGGTAGGGCGGTGCGCGTCATTTACATCTGATTTATGATTCTATACTCCTTGATGGAGGGTCACCTGTTTGTCCAGGAGCGTAGAGTGGTTGTGAGAGAAGAACTTGTAGTTTAAGATCTTGTCGGTAGATGGCAAGCGGTTCCAAAATATTAAACTTAGTTCCAGAAAATCTGCCATAATCTGTCCCTGTTATCTGAACAAACATAAGTTTAATGTCCCAAATGTTAACTAATGTTAAAAGAAATATATATTTATTAGATGAATCTTTAATTATATTTTTCACTGCAAATTATAGACAGAAGGATCGGTAAGATTTATGGTAGTACTTTGTGCTCTCGTAGCTCCTTCAGTTCTTCTCAATAGATCTTTAACAAGAGTCGTTATGAATGATTGAACACACCAAAGATTTCAAAATAGCGTCCAATTTATTTTGGTTTTAATTTGAATCTTTTCATTTTCATTTGAAAATATTGAGAATTCCCAGCTAGCTAAAACCTTACAGGGTGTCCCACGAAACATGACAGTTGGTGACTAGTTTTAAATGTCTTCTTTCACATATCGTGTTAAATTTTGCATTTTTTTCGCTAAACAAATCTTTAACTCTAACAAATTTTACTTTGATATAAATTGTACTGTAATATGACTGCCAAATGATATTTGTATTATTCTCTTTGTATCTATCAAACAACTTCACAAACGGTGGAAGAAGACATTTTAAACTATTCAAGACCTGTAATGTTTCGTGGGACACCCTGTACGTTAGTTTTCCAACTTTTGCACAAAATGATGACCCTATTTAATCCCTGATATTTACACTGCAACCCTGAAACCATGGTTGCAATGTTAGATTGCAACCCTAAGGATGCAATCTTATTAATTGCGAATTTTTCTGCAAACAAGTTCCGAGTTTACAACTCCGAAAACATGAAATAGGTTTGATTTCTGATCTAAATAATATGTGTTACAAAACTAAATAGAAAAATCTCCATAAAAGGAGTTGAGTTTTTGCCACAAACTCTGATTTTCTAATCTCTATATCTTTGTATCCCAATGTCGTAGACCTTAGATATTTCAAAGTATTAATACTAATAGATAAAATAATTTAAGTTTGAAATATCAAAGGTTTGCACCATAAGATTGCAAAGATATTGGTATCATAAGATTTGAGTTTGTAGCAAAAACTCAATTCCTTTGTTTAAAAGTTGAAAAAAATACATTTATCTCTTTAATTACGTTAGGCAACAAGGATGTAATACATATATATGGGAGAGAATATTACATTGCCTTGGCTTCCCTCGACCTTGTTGGGTCCCATAGCAGCATCCTTGGCAATGTAATATTTCCTTCTATATTAATTGCATCCCTATATTGCCTCCCCTGTAATGAAGTGAAGAGATAAATAGTTATTATCGTATATGTTTTAAATTCTTTAAAAAACTACCATTTAATATTTTCTTTAAAGGGAGTGACCGGCTATGTAAGTTAGTTGAACTGAGTATGCAGTGTTGTGGAAAACTTCTTTAAGATTCATTTGAGAATTATAAAACTTTTTAAAGATCTATAAATCCTGAGTTTGAGCGCAAATAAGACGTTCAAAACTCCTACTTTGGGGGTGGATACGTTTTCAGAATTTGTTTCTTTTTAATTATTAAATAACGACGACGAAATATTATACAGTAATCTACAGCGTCCTTTAAACCTTAAAATCTACTCAAAAGTGATAAAGATATCCCTGACTTTTCTTACGGTAAATTGATAATTTTAAATTGTGGTTTTTTAAATGACTTGCAGTCGCAGACTAGGCACCAGAAACTAAACAAGTTAAGTCTTTTTGAAAGAAAGATATTGGTTTTACCCAAATAGATTGTTAAGTACAATAGATGGCAACGTGGTATTTGTACTCTCTCAGTACAGCTGTATTCTTACATTACAAGTGTCAACTCAGTATTGTGTCCGACAAAATCATTAATAAAAGTGATAATTTTAGAATAAAGAGCTTATCTGTGTTTACACTTTTTTATCCAATCTTGAAAAACATGTCAAATAATGGGAGAAAATTTCGTTTTCCTTGTTATATTTGACACTTGTGACGTCGTGTATAATTAATCCATTTCTCTGTTCCCACCTATTGTACTTGATAATCTATCTGGCTTTACCTGTATCTTGTATTCCACATCTGCAAGATGATCAGGCACCTAGAAAATCATAATTTAAATATATTCTGCAGCTTTTTCCACATTTTTTAATCTTGAGCTTAATCTGCATAATGGTCCCTGGAACCACATCTACTCTAACTTGAGCTGAATATCTGCAGAATGGTCCCTGGAACCACCTCTACTCTAACTTAAGCTGAATATCTGCAGGCTGGTCCCTGGAACCACCTCTACTCTAGCTTAAGCTGAATATCTGCAGAATGGTCCCTGGAACCACCTCTACTCTAACTTAAGCTGAATATCTGCAGAATGGTCCCTGGAACCACATTTAATCAACCTTGAGCTGAAATTGACTTATGGTCCCAGGAAGTTTGAACCACCTCTGAGCTGAATCTACTGCATGGTCCCTGAAACCACCTCTTCTTTACCTTGAGCTGGAATCACGCCTACTCTATTCTACCTTGAGCAGAAAATACTGGAACCACTTTTACTGTAACTTGATCCCAATCTACTTTATGACCCTTGGTACTACCTGAACAATACCTTGAGCTGAACCTACTTTATGGACCCTGGAACCACCCCTAAACTACCTTGAACTGAATCTACTGTATGGTCCCTGGAACCACCTGTACTCTACCTTGAGCTGAATCTACTGTATGGTCACTAGAACCACCTCTAATCTACCTTGAGCTAAATCTGCTGTATGGTCCCTGGAACCACCTCCACTATACCTTGAGCTGAATTTGCTGTATGGTCCCTGGAACCACCTCTACTGAGCTTGCTGAGCTCTCTATTTTTGCTCCATCGCGCAGAAGCGCTGCATCAACGCGCACAGGGCTCACACTGTACTGCAGGGTAAAAAAATTGTTAAAATTAGTTATTTCATTTAATTTTCTTAATGTCTCCCCTTATTCTATGCTACTTTAACATATTTAAGACAAAACACGAAATATGGTGGGTGCACCCCCCCCCCCGTCGTTCTAAAAAATCAAATTTATTAAAATCTGAAAAATAAAAAATACGAATCTTAACTCTTTTAATTATTCCTCTCACAAGGTTGAAAAGATAAAAGAATATCAGTGTTGAGACTAAACTGATTAAAACTTCTTGCACAAGACCATTCCAGGTTCAAGAATTTAACTTTTAACTAAGTTTTGGACTCGCTAGTAAAACAGAATATTAAGAGAATAAAATCAAGGTTTGAAGGGTTTGTTGTACTAATATCAAGCNCCCATGGTATTTGTGCCATAGAGATGTCAGTTTAGGAACAGGGGCAAAATACTAAATAAATGCTGAAATAGTTCGTTTCTGGTGATAATTTGAAATTATAAGTAAAAGAAAAAAATTAAAGTGATAAAAAAATGTGAAAAAGAACTTTGTTTTTCTGATTGGAAAAGTATTTAATTCTGATATTTCTGAAAGAAATGCTCAATTCACTTTGCACAGATCTCACAAAAGAAAAAAAATGTTTAACAAACAAAAAAAACTTGGATATCTATTGACGAGCATAGACATTTTTGCATGGAGGGTCATACTTGTATAAAATTACCCTATAATTGTGCCTACCCTTGGTACTGTAGGATTGAGAATATTGACGTGAATATTGTAGTTTCTTCCTTCAACTAGTGTCCGGGGGGCAGTCAGAACATACTCACTAGATAATAATAATAATAATAATAATAATAATAATAATAATAATAATAATAATAATATAATAATATTTACTTATTTACCAATTATCGTTAATCGTTAATCTTACTTATTTACCAATTATCGTTAATCGTTTATATTACTTATTTACCAATTATCCATATTCGTTAATCTTACTTATTTACCAATTATCCTTAATCGTTAATCTTACTTATTCACCAATTATCGTTAATCGTTAATCTTACTTATTTATCAATTATCGTTAATCGTTGATATTACTTATTTACCAAACATCTTTTATCGTTAATCTTACTTATTTACCAATTATCGTTAATCGTTAATCTTACTTATTTACCAATTATCGTTATTCGTTAATCTTACTTATTTACCAATTATCCTTATTCGTTAATCTTACTTATTTACCAATTATCCTTATTCGTTAATCTTACTTATTTACCAATTATCCTTATTCGTTAATCTGACTTATTTACCAATTATTCTTATTCGTTAATCTTACTTATTTACCAACTATCCTTAATCGTTAACTATACTTATTCACCAATTATCGTTAATCTTTAATCTTACTTATTTACCAATTATCGTTAATCGTTAATCTTACTTATTTACCAATTATCGTTAATCGTTAATCTTACTTACTTACTTACTTAATCGTTAATCTTATTTATTTACCAATTATTAACTTTTTTTAATAAAATTGCGCCTACAATCTCCTAGGTATAATTGATAGTTTTAAAACAATAACTTTTTAACTTTAATAAAAAAAATAAAGTAAAAGAAAGAATATTTTGTCTCGTAAATTTTTTTTATAAAGAAATCAATAAATTAACAAAGATTAGCAAATATTGTAAACATAACATAGAAATCAGGTAATAGTGAAGTAAGTAAATGTTGGTTTTGATCTTTGTTTCTTGATTTTTAAAATTCAAAATTGGGGCCTTCAAAAGTTTGCTACTGAATCTTTTTAAGTCTTTCGTTAGCGATGTATAATTTAATAAAAGCAATTTTGCAGAAAATAACCTTTCGCGAAATTTGCAAAATTCATTCGAAATTTTCAACCTCTCCTGCAAATCTTATTTTATTTGAAAATTTTCGAGATTTTCAAAAATGAGGTCAACCGGTCGAAAGTTTCGTCGAAAATACATCAAATTCTCGAAAATTTTGAACGAAAATGAACAAATGTAATGTAATGTAACAATGTTCGCTGTAATGTAATGTAATGTAACAATGTTGGATGCAATGTAATGTAATGTAACAATGTTGGATGTAATGTAATGTAATGTAACAATATTGGATGTAATGTAATGTAATGTAACAATGTTGGATGTAATGTAATGTAATGTAATGTAATGTAACAATGTTGGATGTAATTTAATGTAATGTAACCATGTTGGATGTAATGTAATGTAATGTAACAATGTTGGATGTAATGAAATTTAATGTAACAATGTTGGATGTAATGTAATGTAATGTTACAACATGTAATGAAATGTGACAATGTTGGATGTAATGTAACAAAATGTAATGCAATATAACAATGTTGGGTGTAATGTAACAATAACAAAAGTGTTTTACGTAATCTTTAACTTACACTGAAAGCTCTCTGAATAAATGATAAATAATAAATAAAATGAAAATAATAATGCCTAATATACAAATAATACGTATATAATTAAAAACATCAGAACCAATATATACAGGATTAGCTAGAGAAATGTATTTGCTTCTGCAGGGTTACCCACAAAAAAAATGAGATTAACGAGACGACTGTACGGAATTTATACTGTCTGTATCCTTAAATTCATAACTACCTGCAACTTGAGACTTTTTCCTTTCTTTGTCCAAACATTAAATAAGCCATTAAATCATTCAGATATTACAACAAATAATCATCGATAATTTTTCGACACATTCCTATATAGTTGATATTTCATAATATTTCTTTATTTTTTATGATCTGAGAGTTACTTTTAATACTTTTATTACTGTTTCGAGGATTTTTGATATGAAGACGACATTTTCATATTCTCCAGGAATGTTCGAAAACCCAGCGCCAGCAAAATATTACTTTAAAAAAATCAAAAATATTATGAAATATTAACTTCATACGAATGCGTCGAAAAATAATCGATGACTATTGTTTGTAATATCTGAATGATTTTTTTGAAATTAAATTGATTATTTTAAGATCCGAGTTGAATGTTGCAACTTTCTGATTGTATGGACGCTACGTTCTGAAGTATGAGGCGTTTTTAACAATTTTCTCCTTATAGACGCAACAGATAGAAAAAAAGATTAGATTAAGCCTATACCCCCTTTCATTTTTCGCCAACACTCCCTTTAAAGCTTACCAGAGCAGCACATATTCTTTTCCTTGACATCTATAAAAGACGACAAAAGTTTAAAGGGAATCATTGTGAATGAGACATGCTTCTTTATCATAAATAAACTAACTGTTCTCGTATTGAGCGAAAAAGGGCGGAATTGCGCGGAAATTCCAGGGCCCACAATTGCTCTCAAGTAAAATTCACTTGCGTTGGAAACCCTATTTAGCTCAAAATAAGGTTTACTTTCCCGTTAAGCCCCATTCATCGACAAAAACATTTATTCATGTTATGCTTAGACTTTCATAGATACAGCCAGGTGTCAACATAATTCAGAAAAGATAAGATTTCTGACACTTTTTTCCTTTGTAAAGTTTATTAAAAAGTTGACAAAAAGTTTGAAAGAAAACTGAAAACTGTAAAGGTTGAGGGGGAGGGAATGGGACTCTCTGTAACAACTTAATAGTCAAGGAAGAATCTCATTTATAGGGAGTTATAGGCGTAATTTAATAGTCCAGCAAGAATCTCATTTAAAGGGGTTATAGGCGTAATTTAATAGTCCAGCAAGAATCTCATTTAAAGGGGTTATAGGCGTAATTTAATAGTCCAGCAAGAATCTCATTTAAAGGGGTTATAGGCGTAATTTAATAGTCCAGCAAGAATCTCATTTAAAGGGGTTATAGGCGTAATTTAATAGTCCAGCAAGAATCTCATTTAAAGGGGTTATAGGCGTAATTTAATAGTCCAGCAAGAATCTCATTTAAAGGGGTTATAGGCGTAATTTAATAGTCCAGCAAGAATCTCATTTAAAGGGGTTATAGGCGTAATTTAATAGTCCAGCAAGAATCTCATTTAAAGGGGTTATAGGCGTAATTTAATAGTCCAGCAAGAATCTCATTTAAAGGGGTTATAGGCGTAATTTAATAGTCCAGCAAGAATCTCATTTAAAGGGGTTATAGGCGTAATTTAATAGTCCAGCAAGAATCTCATTTAANGTCAACATTTTTAAATATTTATTTCTATAATTTATATGTATATAATTATATATAAAATTATCACCAACAATTGGCTTTAAAAATAGAGTAAAACTTGCATAGTACTAGATTTAGCTTAAACATTTTAACATCCTCTCTATTCCACTAAAATCTATAAAGGGGGGGTTTCTTTGAAGCTTAATAATTAAAGTGGAAACCTCTCAGTCTTTCATCATACAACTTTCTTGATATATATCCATGTACTTCAGCTAAATATTGGAAGAATATCTAGATATATTGAATGGACATTTAAATATATTTGATACATATCTATTTATATCGGATGAATATCTAAATATATTAGATGAATATCTAAATATATTTAATGAATATCTTAATATATTGAATGAATATCTAAATATATTAGATGAATATCTGAATAAACTAAATAAATATCTAAATATATAAGATAAATTTCTAAATATAATGGATGAATATTCAAATATATTAGATGAATATCTAAACATATTAGATGAATATCTAAATATATTAAATGAATATCTAAATATATTATATACATATCTAAATAATTAGATGAATATCTAAATATATTTAATGAATATCTCAATATATATATTAGATGAATATCTAAATATATTAGATGAATATCTAAATATATTATATACATATCTAAATAATTAGATGAATATCTAAATATATTTAATGAATATCTAAATATATTAGATGAATAACTAAATATATTAGATGAATATCTAAATATTGAAAACTCCACTTAAAGAAAAAAGTTTTCTACTTCCTGGCGTAAATTATCTATAATTTATTATCTCTCTCTTGTCTCAAGTTCAACTAATCCTAAGCTCTCAAAAATATTAATAAAAAATGTATATTGGCGGGAGAAAGTAAATATGTTCAAAATATTTAAAAAACAATCAAAATTATGAACAGGGGAGTATACTAAGGGTCGCCATCCCAAACTCTAACAACTCAAAGGGAATGTGAGGTACATCCCCCCCCCACACGGGAAGCCGTAGTACATTTGAATTTCTGAGTCGGGTCAATCTTTCCGGTCCAAGATTGTACTGTACCTAGCTCTATGGACTATCCGGTGCAACAAGGTGGATGCAGTAAGACTTTATGCTTCATATAGGTTGAATTTACTTTTACTAAAGAGACAGAGGTGCGTGCCCCCCATTCCTAGAGATAGGAAAATGGTAGTCAATGCATGGGGTAAACAAAGCAACTGAGATAAACAAGATGAGAATTCATATATCTAAATATATATATTTGCATGAGGGCTTGTTAGTTAAAGTTTGGGGTATGTGTTTAGTTACTTTTAAAAAAACAGTGTTTTATACTTCTAAAATGTATATGTCTAGGGTTACAATATAACATCATAAGTAAGTTTTTGAGATAAATTCAAAGACCAAGGCGTTGCGATACTTCAAAGTCGACCCAGTTACGCAAATTGAAGCAACTTTGTTATCTATATGTTTGTTGTTGAATTGTTTAATCTTGCTTGAAGTTGGTTTTGTTTGTTGGTGGGAAATAATTCCAAAATAAAGATAAATTACTATCATTAAACTGTTTAAATTATTTAAGAAAAGAAAGAATTTATCTTTGTTTCTCATTTCTGGCAGAGAGCAATAATGCCCCCCCCCTTTCTTTCCACCTAACTAGTCCTGCTCCTTTTCAACTCAAGACAGCTTTCAGACTGATATCCTGTGGTGGTGATTGAAAAGAACAATAGTCTAAGTCTTTGTTTTTATTTCAAATTGTGAAGTCTTTCAGATCAAAAAGTCAAAAATTAAGTTTTCAAAGGTTTACACCATTAGGTTGATAGATATAAGGATAAGAAGAAAAGAGTAAGAGGCTAGTAGTCAGTTCCTTTAAAAATTGTTTATTATTTTAATACATTTGAAAAACAGTTTTTCCAAAAAGCTCATATATATATCAGGAATAGATTTTTTTTACAGTGCTAGAAGAAAAAGTCTAAGAACGATAGTCTAAGAAAAATAGTCATATTAGTCTTGTTTCTATGAAGTCTTTTAGATCAAAAAGATAAAGGTTAAGGTAACAAAGGCTTACTTTAACAGAGGCCGAATTTAAAGAATTTGAGCCGCGGCTTAAATTTACGACGCGGCTCAAATATGGTTGGTTCCACTTAAAATTGTATTCAATGTTTCAAGATTTAAGCCGACGCTCATTAAGAATCAGCTTTTTGAGGAATTTGAGACGTGGCTTAAATTCATTAAATTCGGACACAGGTTGTAAAATATAAGGATTCGAATAATAGAAATTGAGACTGGTATTCAATTGTTAGCTTTATCAAAGTTAAATGCCCAAATATCAGAAATAGATTTTTTTTGGAGTGCAAGAAAAGAAAGCGTAGAAAACAGTGCAGAATCTTATTTTTTTCTGCTGGACAAAATATTATAAATGTAAAAACAGGATTATTTAGTTTTTAGAAAACATTCAGAGGATTTAACAAGTTTATCCTCTGACAATGTTTTTCCCTTGCTGAAAAATACAAGGTTATTAAAAAAAAATGAGCCTTTAGAAAGACCCAAAAAGAATAAAACTTTATAATGTCTCAATAATAAGACTTTAGAAAGACCCAAAAAGAATAAACTTTATAATGTCTCAATAATAAGACTTTAGAAAGACCCAAAAAGAATAAAACTTTATAATGTCTCAATAATAAGACTTTAGAAAGACCCACTTTATAATGTCTCAATAATAAGAATTTAGAAAGTCCCAAAAAGAATAAGACTACAGTAAATCACAAAAAACGAGTATTTTAAAAGTCCCAAAACTCTTGAAATCTGAAAATCGGAAGGTTAGATTTGGGATCTTGCCTTAAAACAGTGTTTAGCGGATGAAAGAATGAATAAATTATGTGCAGTCTCATTGTTTCAGTAAACCCCTGTACTATTATAAACAGCAGTTATAGTTCGGCAAAACCTGGCAATTGATAATCAAACGATCTTCTTTGTTATTAGGTAAATTTTCAACTATAACCTTTATTCTACAATTTAAGAATATATAGAATTTGTTCATCTTCAAATATCTAAAAAGAAACTTTTCTATTGCTGTGATAGCGTCCCTCTAAACATGATATTAAGAAACAAAAGAAATATGACTGCTCTAACTAACAAACAACGAACTTTTGGATTGTTGAAGGACCGAATTCAATAAATTGAAGAGGTCGCTAAATTACCTACCGCCGGTTCAAATCCTGGATCACCGATTAGAATCCTCATTGAGGCAGGTTAAGTGACATAGCTCAAATTCATTAAATTCGATTCTTGGAATCACACTGTAAGTGTAAGTACTGTGTATAATTTATGAACATTTGCATGAATTGTACATAACAAACTCATACAGAGGAAAAATCTTATCTGTTCTTTATACATATCTCTACTCCATGTTTGTACATATATATAAACACGTGTTGAAAACAATACCAACACGTGTCTAGGGAGATAAAGATCATCTTTAATATCTTCAACCAATTTTATTACCCAGCCTAGAGGGATATAAAGTTAGAAATATTCTACCTTTGTACTTTTAATACGTATTTATAGATAATAACGACTATTAAAAACATTGTTGTCATTCCGTAACATCACAAACATTCATATCGCCGATTTTCCCGAGGGTTTCCATTTTTTCCGAAACAATTTAGTTCCGTTAACGTCTTACGGAATCTTTCCTGAAGCTGATAAGACTGCAAACCCATTTAAACTTTTGGAACGAAACGATAATTCCATTTAGCGGTGATCTAAACAAAGTTTTTTTTCGGAATGTTGCACCTGTTTCTGTTTCGCTGAATAGGAATATTTCCGTTGGACATTTGAAAAAATGGCAACAATTGTGAAAAAAAACAATGACAAGAGTGGAATATGGCATGTTGGGATAACGGCAAGTTGGGAAAACGGCAAGTTGGGAAAATGGCAAGTTGGAAAAACGGCAATTTGGGAAAATGGCAAGTTGGAAAACGTCAAGTTGGGAAAACGGCAAATGGCAAGTTGGAAAACGTCAAGTTGGAAAACGTCAAGTTGGCAAACGACAAGTTGGGAGAACGGCAAGTTGGGTAAACGGCAAGTTGGAAAAATGGTAATTTAGGAAAACGGCATCAATTTAAAAAAAAATGGAAATTTTAGTAAATAAATAGAAATTTGCACAATAGAAATTTGGGAAATGAATATTTAGGAAAATGACAATTGGAAAATTCGGAAAAGTATCTTTTTATTTAATTGCATAAAAATAAAAAGCATCGGGTTCACGGCTAGTAAGTCTATTTATTTATTCATTGTTAGTGTTTAAACGAATATATAGCAGATGTTAAACTTTTAATCTAATTTAAAACTCTCAGTTAAATCAAACAAATCCTTATTCTTTGAACTTAAAAACAAAACAAGAACAAGAAATTTTGAAATGGATCATTTATGCAAAAACATCAATTTCAAGGAAAAATTTATTTTTACAAAAAAATTCAAAGTTGTAATCTAAACATTATTGCAACCTAAAGTTGTAAAAACCAAAGAAGTAAAAAGGCCGGTTGCAAAGATATAATAAAATTTGAATTTGTGGCGAGTGATCAGTTCCTTCGTCACGATCCTGTATGCTGAGTCCATTAGCACCTGATCCAATCAGGGTTCAGTCTTGTGTTTGTTGTCTATTCTGAACCAATAGAAATAGTATGCCGGTAACATCTATCTGTCTATATCTATCTCATTATCCAATTAGAGTTATGAATCCTTATATCGACGCTATCAGCAAATGGAAATATTTAATTCTACTGAAACTATAGAAAAAAAATCAATATAAGTTTGTTCTTACATGATTTATCTTTTCTGTTTAAAATTGTTCAGTAGTGGGTTAAATTACAAAGAGATAAATCCATTCAATCTTTCAAAAAGTGTTCAAACAAATTAAATTTTAAATCTTTACATTCTATTATTTTTGTAGTACAAACAAAGTACAGATGGCATGAGATGATGAGAATAGATAAAAAGTGTGTAAAGCGTGTAATTGGAAAAATGGTATTCGAACTTCATTTTCACACGATATCTTATAATTAATCTTGTTTTATTACTTGCCTTTATGTTTTTTTTTGGATATTTTATTATAATTGATCACGACATTAATTAATGAAAACGAATTTGTATAATTGTATAATTTGTATAATTGTATAATTTGTGAATTTACATATATGTAGAACAAATGAGAACGAGCAATGTTTTAGAATAATCCATTTCATTGCTTTGTACTGCTAATATAATCATCAATTTGTAATTGTAAACTCGTTCTGTACACAGATACATGTATTTTAGCAATAAACTTTATCTTATCTTATCTTTCATATAAAAAGTAGAAAATGAAAAAAGCTTTTTTAAATGTTACTTATGATTGAAATCCTTAACAAAAATATGTTAATTTTAAATGGGGTTTTATTAATTTTGTTTATATTTCTTAAAAGGAAGCTGGTGAAATAATTGCAAGCATGACCATTACATGCACGCACGCATGCATGACTAAAAACGTGTTAATTTATAAACTTTTTTGAGAAAAATTGGAAATTTTTTATTTTAATTTGTGTTCTCTGCCACATCAGAAAGCAAAAAATTTAAGATAAAAAAATAACGATATCTTGTTATGAAAGTGATCAATGTTATCAAGTTCTAAATGAAAGTAATCAATGTTATCAAGTTCTAAATGAATGTGATCAATGTTATCAAGTTCTAAATGAAAGTGATCAATGTTATCAAGTTCTAAATGAAAGTGATCAATGTTATCAAGTTCTAAATGAAAGTGATCAATGTTATCAAGTTCTAAATGAAAGTGAACAATGTTATCAAGTTCTAAATGAATGTTATCAATGTTATCAAGTTCTAAATGAATGTTATCAATGTTATCAAGTTCTAAATGAATATTATCAATGTTATCAAGTTCTAAATGAATATTATCAATGTTATCAAGTTCTAAATAAATGTAATCAATGTTATCAAGTTCTAAATGAATGTTATCAATGTTATCAAGTTCTAAATGAATGTTATCCATGTTATCAAGTTCTAAATGAATGTTATCAATGTTATCTAGTTCTAAATGAATGTTATCAATGTTATCAAGTTTTAAATGAATGTTATCAATGTTATCAAGTTCTAAATGAATGTTATCAATGTTATCAAGTTATAAATGAATATTATCAATGTTATCAAGTTCTAAATGAATGTTATCAATTTTGTCAAGGTCCAAAGAGTAATGTTGTGAATCGGGTATGTAATTATTTTAAAAAGAATCATCTGAAATAACGTTGACAGTTCCTTTAATATATAATTTATTTTTTTAAATACATGCAAAACTTACGGTGACGTATGAAGAATTTTCGTAGCATGTGTACTCGGAAACTGAACTGGGGTTCCTTGTGTACATTGAACCACAAACAAAATCACACATTTATACAACATAATTAATCACATTTAGATTTCAACAATACTTTCACTGATTTACTTTTAAGATTTTCGAAAGAGTGTCTCTGAAATCTGATTCACGTAAACTATTATGAATGGTTTGAAGTGGATGGATTGCGGAGTCTGGTTGAATTAATAAATTTCTGCATCCTCCCTGCTCCGCATACAAGGGAATACTGGAGAGACTGAGGGAGGAGAGTTACCATTCTCATTCTCCCTTCGGAGTTATAGGTATTCATCTCTCCCGGTCCTTTACACTATTCAAACCCGATACACAGAGGTTTTAGCCCTGCCCTTTACACTATTCAAACCCAATACACAGTGGTTTTAGCCCTGCCCTTTACACTATTCAAACCCGATACACAGTGGTTTTATCACTGCCCTTTACACTATTCAAACCCGATACACAGTTTGTTTTATCCCCGCCCTTTACACTATTCAAACCCGATACACAGTGGTTTTATCACTGCCTTTTACACTTTTCAAACCCGAAACACAATAGCATTATCCCTGCCCTTTAAACTATTCAAACCCGATACACAGTAGTTTTATCACTGCTTTTTACACTATTCAAACCCGATACACAGTGGTTTTATCCCCGCCCATAACACTTTTCAACCCCGAAACACAATAACGTTATCCCTGCCCTTTAAACTATTAAAACCTGATATACAGTGATATTATCTCCACCCTTTACACTAGTAAAACCTGATACACAGTTGTATTATCCCTGCCCTTAACGCTATTCAAACTTGATACACAGTGATATTATCCCTTTGGTTTTACCCCCCGCCCTTTACACTATTCAATACCGATACACAGTATAGTTAATGCCCTACTCCTAAAACTGCTTTCACACCCGTATCAATCCAGGTCCAACTCAATCCTTCTTGTTGGTCTACGAGGCATAAGAACTAATCAGTTCAACAATACTTAACTATCAATGTCAATCCGGACGACTTTATCTAGCTGTATAAATACTCACTCCCTTTTGATATGATCGGCAAGGCATAAGAACTAGTCAGTTTACTATCTACAGCCCACGATTTCAAAAATTCGGAAAAATACGGCTCGGGTCTAAGCTGTCGTTGGGCCTTATTTACAACTTGAGCTTTCGGTTTCAAGCTGCATCCTATGTTGAGTTCAAAAAACAGGTTAAATACTCTATTTGGCGGATTTTCATGGTAGGAATTGGCGCATTCTGGGTTCTTATGAGAACAAGAGATTTATATCAAGAGGAACACAAGCATCAAGAGTGGATCAAGCATTAATCTATCTATGCAGAGATGCACAATAGCCAATATGTAGTTTAGAGATTTATATCAAGAGGAACACAAGCATTAAGAGTGGATCAAGCATTAATCTATCTATGCAGAGATGCACAATAGCCAATATGTAGTTTAGAGATTTATATCAAGAGGAACACAAGCATTAAGAGTGGATCAAGCATTAATCTATCTATGCAAAGATGCGCAATATAGCCAATATGTAGTTTAGAGATTTGTATCAAGAGGAACACAAGCATTAAGAGTGGATCAAGCATTAATCTATCTATGCAAAGATGCGCAATATAGCCAATATGTAGTTTATCGGATAAAAATATGTATTTCAGTGATACCAATATAACTATCTGGCCAAACCGTAAGATTTAAAGAAATATGACATAGAAATGTTTTATATTTTATATTATTGGATAACATAGGTTTGGTGCAATTTCCCTAAAATTTGCAGTTTAGACGCAAGAGGTCGTTTTCAGATGGGTGTAAGCAAGGTATGGAGGAAAACCACACAAACTCCAGGATATTATCTTTAAATTCTGTTCAGGTCTGCTTTTCATCTAATCTGGAATAGAGAATTGAGAAGAGGTTCTGTTTAGAAACCTTGGTTCAATCCACACCACACATCTTACAGAGGATCCATTTAGAACCCTTGATCCAATCCATACCATACATCTTATAGAGGATCCATTTAGAACTCTTGATCCTATCCATAACAACATCTTATAGAGGATTCATTTAGAACTCTTGATCCTATCCATAACAACATCTTATAGAGGATTCATTTAGAACTCTTGATCCAACCCATAACATATATCTTATAGAGGATTAATTTAGAACTCTTGATCCAATCCATACCAACATCTTATAGAGAATCCATTTAGAACTCTTGATCCAATCCATACCAACATCTTATAGAGAATCCATTTAGAACTATTGATATATAACCAGGTTGGATCGTCCCCATCGTTTGGGATCGATATACATAGCTTACAGATAGCTAGGCTTATGTCCTTGTATGGCATTCAGAGCACTGATTTGATAGCTTGTTGTATAGCAACACTTGTGTCCCTGTGTGGCATTTAGAGCCAGGTGGGTTGTGTCCTGTTTGACTTTGATAGCGGACCGGTTGAACCTGGATAGATACGTTTCGAGAACTTGTTATGGAGTGCTTTACTACACTGTTTCACACAATGTACATAGTACATACAATGTAAAGTGTACAACTTGATCTAGCTTCCTTACAATTGCAGTCCAGTACTTCAAATGAACCAGAATTTACTCCGTGGGCATAGACAGTCACGGTGGGTAAGACTACGAACACATTGGAAGTTTTGCAGTGCTAGACTAAAAATACATGTTTGTGTGTTTACTAAAAATATCGAAAAGAGCGGATCTCGTAGC